TGCGGTCTAGCCCAGCCGCAAAGCCCGGAAGAGACCACAACTTCAAAGCTTACATTGACGTGGTTGAAGTTGTGGCTGATTGCTTAAGACGTTTTGTTTAACAAAAGAGTTACCACCATCGCCTGTTGGACCTGTTGGACTGAAATGATCCAACCTGTTGGACGGAAATGATCCATGTCAGGCGAAGGCGGGCCGCAAAATTACACGCTCGAAAACAATTGGATTCTTGTATCCCCTAGGTACCCCGTAGGTACCCCGTAATGGAGGTAAAGTTCTGGATACAAGTTCGTACAGCAGTGAGGACGCAACTCGTACCGTGCTTCAACCGACAGCCGCTGCTGATGTACACGTCTCCGTTTGCATCATGACGATCCCCACTCATGTAAAGAAATAACCTGTCCACAAGTGGGTCCACTAGAGACCGCACATGTAGCAGTTCCCTTCCCAACTTCAACAAAACCACGGACGTGTCAACGTATGCCCCGGAGCCGAGCGCGCGAAGCGATCGCAGTGGGGAGCTTCTCATTTTCCATTCTGCTGCTTCCGTCTCCGAGCTCGCATTCAAGATGCTTCAGCGCTCGCTCCAAGCAAAGGCCCTCGCCTTTCGTGGTCGCCACGGAGTGCAGAGCGCTCTCAGCTCCTCGGCGGCACCGGGGGAGTACGACTACGTCATTGTGGGCGGAGGCTCTGCCGGCTGCGTGCTCGCCAACCGCCTGAGCGCCGACCCGAACAACAAGGTGCTGCTGGTGGAGTCCGGTCCTAGCGACGTCGGCAAATGGGACTCGGCGCGAATCCACATGCCCGCGGCGCTGGCTTACAACCTGGCGGACGACCGCTACAACTGGAACTACTACACGGAGCCCCAGAAGAACATGGATGGCCGACGTATCCCGTGGCCCCGCGGACGCGTGCTCGGCGGCTCGTCCTCCATCAACGCCATGGTCTACAACCGCGGCCACACCTTCGACTACGACGACTGGGAGAAGGCCGGCGCCAAGGGCTGGAGCTACGCGGACTGCCTGCCGTACTTCAAGAAGTCGACGACCCACGACCTGGGCGAAGACGAATACCGCGGCGGCAGCGGCCCGATGCGCATCACGCGGAAGACGCAGGACAAGGCCCAGCCGCTCTTCCAGGCGTTCATTGACGCAGGCGTGCAGGCGGGGTACCCGGAGGCTGTGGACATGAACGGATACCAGCAGGAAGGTCTGGGCTGGATGGACATGACCATCCACAAGGGCAAGCGCTGGAGTACTGCCGCTGGCTACCTGCGCCCCGTGATGGATCGCAAGAACCTGACGGTGATCACCGACACGCTCGTGAATAAGGTCGTCTTCGAGGGCAAGAAGGCGGTGGGTATTGAAGTTGAAGACAAATCCAAGGCGATCTCCCAGATCCGAACGGCGAAGGAGGTCATTCTCTCCAGCGGCGCCATCAACACCCCGCAGCTCCTCATGCTCTCGGGTGTTGGCGATGCCGAGCACCTGAAAGAGGTGGGGATCCCTCTCGTTCACCACCTGCCAGCCATCGGCAAGAACATGGAGGACCACCTGGGCACGTACCTGCACTTCGCGTGCAAGAAGCCGATCACGCTCTACAACGCCACTTGGAACTTCCCACACAAGATGGTGGCCATTGCTCTCGAGTGGTTGATGTCGCAGACCGGCCCCGGGTCGTCCTCGCAGATCGAGGCTGGCGGCTTCATTCGGACGTAAGTTATTTATGCGTGTTATGCGTTGATCTCCACTCACCAACATGTTTGCTGCTGTGTTGTGTTGTGTAGGGCCCCTGGAAAGCGCCACCCGGACCTGCAGTATCACTTCATCCCGGGCTCCATCGACGAGGGCCTTCACGTTCGCGCTGGCCACGTCATGACCGCCCACTGCTCAACCATGCGCGCGACCAGCCGAGGCTACCTCAAGCTGCGCAGCAAGAACCCGCGCGAGCACCCCATCATCGAGCCCAACTACCTTGACACCCAGGAGGACATTGTCGACCTCCGCAACGGCGTGAAGCTCACGCGTGAGATCGTCCAGCAGAAGGCCTTCGATGAGTTCCGCGGCGAGGCTTTGTCGCCCACGGACGACTCCCAAAGCGACGAGGCCATCGACGCCTGGGTGCGTCAGAACGCTGGTACGGTCTACCACCCGTCGTGCACGGCTCGCATGGGCGTGGACGAAAACTCGGCTGTCGACGCCGAGACCCGCGTGCACGGCATGGAGGGCCTGCGCATCGTGGACGCTTCGATCATGCCCAACATCGTGAGCGGCAACCTCAACGGACCGGTCATAATGATGGCCGAGAAGGCTGCCGATATCATCCTGTGCAACCCGGCGCTGCCCAAGTCCAACGCACCCGTGTACCAGGCGAAGAACTGGGAGACCAGCCAGCGCTAAATGAGCGAGCGTCGAACTACGCAGCGCCGCCGTCTCTCGTGGTTGTCGTGAGCATGATCGTGTAGACTCGTTTAATGCCTCAATCAATGTTCGTGCTGTACACTTCTACATAGTTATCGGTCTGCACATTTAGCTTCCGAATCGATAGCCGACACAGGAGCCACCATCACCATGGTGCTGACCTCGCAAGAGGAATGACGGGGGATTATTTCTTGCTGCTCTACGACTAATTCATCGTTGAAAAGTTACTGTGTGTACCATGAACAAGTGTTCTGGAGCGATGCCATGCACCGCTTGCAATTTATTTACTCGGCTTTGGGGGCTTTCTTGCGCTGTCGGACCTTCTGCTCCTTGCCATCGCTGTCGACAGCCTTGGCGTCTTCCTCTTCCTGCGCATCGTCCTCGGCGCCGCTGTCCGCCTTCTTCGTCGCTTCCGGCTTCGGGGATCCCGACGCGCAGCACAGGAAGAAGAATCCGAGCGTCAGCAGCACGGACACACCCGCAACCGATCCGATTGCAATCACAGGGTTCTCATTGGCGTACGTGGCAAAGTCCGTCGCCAGCGTCTCGAGCGTCTTCATGAAACCGCCCTCCTCGCCGTCCTTGCCACCCTTCTTAGCCTTCTTGGCCTTCTCGTTCGCCTCGACCTCCGCCGCGTGCTTGGGCGCCCACGTCAGCTCCGCGAACTCCTGCGCCATCTTCAGGTCGTTGCCGAGCCAGAAGTTGTCGAACGTGATACCCCCCGTCATGGTCCACACCTCCACGGCGAGCGCACCGATGGGGTCCATACGCGCGGGGTGCTCATCCTCGAAGTAGTTCGGGTTCGGGATCTTGCGCGGCTTCCACTCGCCCTTGTAGGCTGGGTTGGGGATGTACGGCGCGTAGAACTTGCCCTTGTAGGCCGGGTTGGCCTTCGTAGGCCGCTTCCACTCGCCACAGCCAGACACCTCCGCGCACTTCGGGTTGGGGATCTGCGGCACGATAAAGTCCCCGTCGTCCTCGTCGTCCCAGTCCTCCGGCTTGACCACATCCGGGTCGTCAATCACCGCCGGCTCGTTGTCCAGCCAGTCGGCAGGCTTGACGGCGCTCTCGTCCGGAATGCGCGCGGGGGCGTCCTCGTCCCAGTCGTCGGGCTTGACGGCGTTCGGGTCGCGAATCTTCTTCTCGTCTACCCAGTCGTCGGGCTTCGAGTCCTCGGGGTCGTCGATCTCCTTCTCCGGGATGACGGACGGCAGGAAGTTCTTGAGCAAGCTGCCGCTCTTGACCGACTTTTGGTCCACAAACACCTCGAATGTGTTGTCGTCGCGGATGACCGCCGTGTACAGGTGCGTGTCCTTGTCGCTCTTGATGCCGGGCGCCTCCATCATGTGCTTCTCCTCGTACTCTCCCGAGACGGGGTTCTTGTGCTGGAAGATGAGGTGCACCTTGTCGCTCTTGCCGCACTTGTCGGGGCCGAACATGAGCACGAAGGGCGTCGAGTCGCTGAAGGCCGAGTAGTCCTGCTTGTCCTGCTTGTCCTGGTCCTGGCGCAGCAACTTCACGTAGGCGCCGCCGCAGTCCAGGCCCTTCTGCAGCTTCACCTCGTACTGCACCACCATCTCCTTCCTGCCGGCGCTGCCGTCCACGCGCAGCGGCTCGTCCAGATTCACGGCCAGGCCGTAGTGGCGCGCGGGCTTGTCCAGCACGAGGCCGCGGTCGGGCGTCAGGTGCGCGGCCTCCAGCGTCACCTCCTCGAGCACCACGTCCTGGTTCGAGTACTTCTCGTGCGAGCTCCGGAACCAGCGCGAGCCGTCGAACAGCTGCTCGGCCTCGAACGTCTCGGCGAACAGCGCGTGCTTCGTCAGCTCCTGCGCCTGCTGCTGGCGCTCGGCCGCCTCCGGCTGCTGCTCCTCGGCCAGCGCCGCCATGGGCAGCAGCAGCGCCGACAGCAGCGCCACGACAGTCTTGACCTTCATCTCCTGGTGCTCTCTTTGGCTCTGGGCGGCGAGATCGCGAATGAAGTTGAAGGCGGCGGTCAACCGCCGGTAGTTCTAGAACATGATGTGCGGGAATGCTTGCGCTGCTTCTGTACGACTGAGTGACTATATCGGCGTAAATCATTCAGGTACACTGTGTATCGCACTGCCTATCTCCTTAGTTTCAACGAATTGACGTTGCGTATCGTAAGATACGGCGCGCGATTGGCCGAAACCCGGTCCCGAGCAGAGGGGGAGCTTTGAGCTCAAAGATCGCTCCGAAGAAGCAAGGCAAGAGCTGAAGTACCGAGCAGCAAGCAGGCAACTGGCAGCAGCATGGACAGCCGACAGCGCACGCAGTCGCCCATCGTGACGGGATCGTCGGTGATCGCGCTCAAGTACAAGGGCGGCGTGCTCATGGCGGCCGACACGCTGGGCTCGTACGGCTCGCTGGCGCGCTTCACGGACCAGCGCCGCCTCACGGCCGTGCACAACACGACGCTGCTGGGCGCGGGCGGCGACTTCAGCGACTTCCAGTTCATCAAGGACAAGATGGACGAGCTGGAGGTCTACGACTTCAACCAGGACGATGGCTGCGATATGACGGCGCCCGAGATCTACCACTACCTGCAGCGCCTGCTCTACCACCGCCGCAACAAGTTCGACCCGCTCTGGAACACGGTCGTGGTGGGCGGCCTCAACCCGGAGACGGGCAAGCCCTTCCTGGGCCAGGTCACCATGATCGGCCTCGCCTTCGAGGGCGACTTCATCGCCACGGGCTTCGGCCACCACCTGGGCATGCCGCTGCTGCGCAAGCACTGGCGGCCCGACATGGAGGAGGCCGAGGCGCGCAAGCTGCTGGAGGACTGCATGCGCGTGTGCTTCTACCGCGACTGCCGCACGATCAACCGCGTGCAGTTCGCCAAGGTGGCGGCCGACGGCGTCTCCATCCCGGAGCCCGTCAAGATGGACACCAAGTGGGACTACTCGATGTTTGTCAAGCCCAAGTCGGACTTCGGCGCCTCGTGGTAAGCACATAGCGACCGAAAGGTAATCAACAGCAGCAGGCTGGCGAGGAGCAGAGCGCGATAAGGCTGAGGAGGAGCAGCAGCAACGACATCAGCAGGGGCGAGCGCTTTCGCAGATTTACCGTTGTTGAAGTGCTAGAACTCGCCTCGACGCGCTGATAGGATCGTTACGACGCGCATCGACACGATCCACCGCAGCATTAAACTGTCAGCCAGCAGACTCATTAAGACATTAAAAACAAGGAGAAAAATGGAGAAAATTGCAATGACGTTCTCTTCAGGTTGCGGAGGAATCGCTTCAGAGTACCACCGTCTCAAAAGCCAAAATAATCTCTGCGCCGGCGCTTCGAGCGTTGTCTTCTTCGTGAGCTGCGGTCACTGCTCGACGACGACGAAGAGCCGTCGCTGTCGCTACCGGACGAGTCCGAGTCGGAGGACGAGGAGGAGCTGTCGCTTGACGATCCAGACGAGTCCAAGTCCGAGCTGTCCGAGTCGGAAGATGACGAGTCGGACGAGGATGAATCGCTGCTACTGCTACTGACACTGCGGCGGCGCTTGCGTCGCGAGCGAGAGCGCGAGTGCGACCGCGAGCTCGCCTTCTTCTTCTTGGCTTTGTCCTTGTCCTTGCGCTTGAGCTTCTTGCTCTTCTCCGCCGCTGCCCTCTCCTGGTCCTGCAGCTCCGGCGGCTTGTCCTTGTTGAAGGGCTGGCGCAGCTTCGGGTTCTTGAGCTGCTGAGAGCGCGACGGCCGCTGCACGTACACGGCCTCGTTCTTGCACTCGTAGGTCCAGTGGCCCGGCCGCAGACACTTCTGGCACATGGCGGCGGCGCTGGAGGCCGACGACGCGCCCACGCCTCGGCGGTGCACGCGCACCTTCTCCGTGCTGGTCGCGTACATGTTGCGGCGCGCCTCCTTGCGCTGCGCCCACTTGCCCAGAGGCGCGTCGCCGCCGGCGTCCCCCATGGCTCTCACTCGCGCTGTAAATGCCCAGTGAGCGTCGACTGGAAGTGGGTATGGTGTATTATCGACCAATCGAAGGCTCTAAATTTCCCTGCTCTTGACCGATTGGCTGTTAATGGGGCGCACCTTGCTCTTCAACATGAAGTTGAAGTGGAGCTCCTCGTTGCGCAGGCGCCGGTGGCGCTCGAGGGCCGAGGCGATGAGCGGCGGCGTCGTGGGCGGCGTCGTGGGCTGCACGTCTGCGGCCGCGGCCACGAACTGCGCCGTGCTCTGCTCCATCTCGGGCGCCGCCTCCGCCGCCTCCTTGACGCGCTCGGCCATGTCTCTCCAGCGCACCTGGGCGAGCGCCAGCGAGTAGCTGCCCACCTTGAACAGCTCCATGCTCAGCACGCCCACCCAGAGCGCGGGGAAGCCGTAACCCAAGGTGATGCCGCCGACGTAGGCAACCGGCAGGTTGATGAGCCACGTGGCGATCGCGCTGGTCCAGAACACAGTCTGCACTTGGCTGTAAGTCAGATGGGGGGGCACACGGAGGTCAGAGAAAGAGAGAGGCAAGCTATTCACACAGTAAGGGGACTCAAGACACACACCTCATCCCAGTGAGAGCCCCCGCCCCGAGAATCTCGACGGCCTCGAAGACGCACGCGACGACGAACACGGGCAGCACGAGTCTGCACATGGTGAGCAGCTCCGTGTCCGTCGTGTAGAGAGTGATGATGTGCTGGTCCATGACGCTCGTGGCAGTGGCGATGAGTACCACCACGACCATCGTGCAGATGAAACCCAGACCGGTAATGCGGCGAGCCAGGTCCGGTTTGCCCGCGCCCAGGTAGTTGGCAACGCGGACCTGCGTGGCGCAGCCGTAGCCCCAGAAGAGCGCCCACAGCAAGGACCACAGACCCGAAATGACGGCGTTGGCAGCAATGACGCGAGCGCCCAGTCGAGCAGCCACGAGAGCCACCAGCGCGTTCGCCAGATTGGACACGAAACTGTTGCTGGAAATGGGGCCTGCCACCCGGAGAAAAGATCGGAGCCGGCTGAGCGTGAGAGCGTGGATGTTCCAGCCGTACCAGGCACGGTGGTGGTGCTTTCTGTACAGGATGGCGTAGCTGAAGAGCGCGAAGGGCTGGAACCAGGAGGCCACAACTGTCGCGATCGGAGACCCGATGAAGCCCAAGCCGTCCCACGGACCGATGCCATAGATGAGGACGTAGTTGCTACCAGCAGCCACGAAGATTGAAACCATTCCCACAATAGTGGTGGGAAGCAAGATCCCAATGGCCTGCAAATATTGTCTGGAGAAATACGCAACAAGAACGAATGAGTCAAGACAGCTACGCGGGTATCTCGCTTACTGCCAATACGAACCTGAGGCAGCAGTAGAGAAGCGATGGGAGAATAGACCCCGAGAGGACACGTGAAAATGTGGTGGCGAGAGCGACAACCTCCTGGTCATCCGTCGAGTACTCGAGGACATAACCTACACACCAGTACCAGATCGTGACAGGAACCGAAAGCAACGTCGTGATCATGAGTCCAAACTGCAGCCAGATGCCTGTCAGCTCCCGGTTGCCTGCACCCCACGACTGCCCGCACAACTGTTGGTGCAAGCATGGCACGTTAGATTAGCTGGAACACACCCAGTTTGATTACAGAGCCGAACGAACCGTATTAAGGGCGGAGGCGGAAGCCCACACAGCATAGAGAACTGGACTGGTCCACAATTGAGCGAGCGAGGCTGCCGCTAGCTCTTTCACGCCAAGGTGGCCCAGGAATATTGAGTCGATGGCCAGAAGAACTGCGCGCGCCAACGTTGCCATGCTCACTTGGGCTGCCATCGAAGAAAGGTCGACGAAGTCATGCCATGCCGGAGGCTGCTTGGACCGGTAGCAAGGTTTCTCGAGGAGTGGACTGGTCTCCATGCCCCCACGCTGCAAGAAGTAAAGTGACGAGAAGCGAAATGCGCGTGGTTGGCTCTGGCCGTGGCTAAATGTACTCGGCGGTGCCTCCGCAATTGACGTTTCTTGAAACGACTAAGCTGTTGATAGCTCTGAAACACCCGTTGTGACCACGACAAAGCAGCCCCCAGAGAAGCCCACGAGCTATGGGCGCTGCTTTGGCCTCGCATGATTTGTCTGACCCGCAGCAGCAGCAGTTGCTATGTGAGTACATCGACCACTCAAGAAAGACGGCAGACGAGTGCGCGCATATCTTCCGGGGGTCTCTAGGTATGTACGACGATGAGCAGAGCGACCCCCCTTCGTCGAGCTTGGGGATTCGGAAACCAGCGTATCCACGCCATATCCAGTTGCCGCAGTTTGAAGAAGTCTTTGGCATGCTAGTATCGGACCCAGAGCCCCACTTTTGCTTCTTCCATCACGGAAAAATTGCTGCTGCTGACTCCAAGCCGAAAGCTGAGGCTACCGTCTGCGCACACCGCGTCTTCTGCGCCGTGGCCTTGCTCATGAGAGCGGATCTTCACTCGAAAGTTGATTTCGTGTTGCGGCTGTACGCAGACATTGCGGGCGTCTTGACTCCAGAGGCTAAGAGTTCGCTGTTGAAAGATTTTGTTACGAGTGTTGAAGAGATTTTGCAACTCACGGATTCCATTCCAGGCAGTTTGCTCGCAAGCGTCGAGGTACTCGCTTAACTTATGCTGATGTCAGCAAGCCAACAAATAGTTTGGTTACCAAACTTTGGTATGCCTTGAAGATTGATCCGTTCCCTGGTGTGAGCAGAGAGCATTCTGGAGCGACGAGCCGGGCAAGCTGATGACCGTGCTTGAACTGTACGATATCTGCCTCACAAATCCACAGATAAGCGGGATGCTGCACGGTATTCACGCAGTTATTGAAGGTAAAGTTGTTGGGCAAGTGGGTTGGAGTTACTTTGCTAACAAACGATTCCTCGCGCTATCCGGCAGAGTTTTCTGCGTCACAGCGCCAAGAAAAGTTACGGCAGCGTGAGAACAGCGCTCTACCTCAACACAGTTCCATGCGCCACAGAGACAACAACTCGGCTCGGATAAAGTCAATGGCGCGCTCCACGTCTTCGGCTACCCTTCCTCGATCTTCAGTGCTGTGGGATTTCAAGGTAAATTGGCATTGAAGCGCTACTGTAGCAATATCATGTGGCGTTTAACTTATTATTTTACAGGCAGGAGACTATGGCAGCTTTTGGTTGCAACCCGAACTGCTGCAGATAGCGTCGAATGAGATGTGTGCGCACGCGCTCGAAAAAATGGTTTCAGCCGATACCCAGAGCGCCCTGGTAATCGAATCTACCCAAACTCCCCATTCCGAGACGCATCAGTCAATTGGGCTCATCTCTGCTGACAAGCTGCTTCTGTAAGCCCGAGCTACAGTCGATCGATGAGCCTAAGAAATATTTGGTATTAACCGTCCTCTGGTTTTGCCTCATGCAGATATTTTCTTCACTTTCTCGTGCCCGGGATCGAGTCACTGACGGCCAAACCTTACGAACACACTCGAGCACGAGCAGAAGAGGCCATGAGGCAATTCGGCGCAGCACCACTGCGTGATGTTGTGCGCTTTTACTTTACAGAGCGAGCCCCATTAATCGGCACCATTCGGGACGATGAAGCGTTCTTCAGTGTGTTGTTGCGCTTTGCGTGCGGAGAAAGCTCCGTGGCGGTCGCTCAGAACTACAGCTCGTCTCCTGAAACAGTTCTGGGGTGTCTGTCAGTTTTCGATTTGTTAGCGTGGCTCGAAGAGGACCTGACGCTTCTGAGTAATGTTATCCGTCTTGTGTCTTACGCTGCTGTCCAAGCCGCCCAACTAATTCTAAGTCTTGTCCGAATGCAGAAGGAAAAGAGCAATGTGCTGTTGCGGCCTTCCCTCAATTTTTCTACGCGCCAGCAAGAATTAGCTCGAGCTCCGCTTCTGCATCAGTGTGTGAGGGTTTGGTGGAGATGGCATCACGGCAACTTTCGGGGATATTGGTGGAGACGAACCAGGAGATGAGAGTGCTCAGGTATGTGCGTTAGCACGACTCCATTGGCAGGACTTGACACCATACTCTTACTATCTGTATCCACCCTTCCACCCACAGCGCCAAAGCGTTCCGTGATCTGTTCGCCGCATCCTTCTCTGCTCTAAGCGAAAAGGATAGCGACCCAGGCCCTTTGCTTCGTTCAGTGAGGGAAAATGCATCCGTGCTTCCTCCTGCTTGCATTGTCTCCCCTTACACGTCTATCGCGAAAGTGATCCGAGAAATGGTCGGCAAGCGAACAAGGCGTGTTGTAGTTCAGCGGCAAGATGGCTTGGTGGTGGGAGCTGTGCGAGCTTCGGACATTTTCCTAATGCTGCTACGAGCGCAGCACACCTCCCTACGGTAAACTAAGAGCCAGCCAGACAAAGTCGAATACTCGTTCACAGATAACACAGCAAAAATATACGTTCCAGGTTCCAAACGCTTCTGAGGTCAGCGAATCGTTGCTCTATTGCACCTGGACGATAAAGTTGTTCCTTCGGCCGATACGGAGCACCAGCAGCTTGCCGTCGAGAAGATTGGCTGCCTCAACGCGCAGAGCTTCCGATTCAACGCGCTCGTTGTTCAGGTAAACGCCGCCACCCTTAATCAGACGGCGGCACTCAGCTGCAAGCACGCACACGACAATGATTAAGACCGGTCCCATTCCCCAGCTCCTACATGGTACAAAACTCAGTAGACAACTCACCTTTTGACTTGGCTGCGCCTATTCGAACCGCAAGATCCACCAGAGATTGGTCGACAACATCCGCGCGCGAAAGGGCTGACATCGGCGCGTCTCCAGCCATGCGCAGCATCTCTTCCGCCGTGAGCGGGCCGCTCTTCTTTCCGAACAGGAGCTCGGTCGCATCCAGCGCAGCCTTCAAGCCCTCTTGCCCGTGCATCATCGCAGTGATGTCTTCCGCGAGCACCTTCTGGGCGGCGCGCTTTTCAGGCGCCTTCTCGTGCTCCGCCACGATGTCACGAATCTCCTCCACCTCGCGGAACGTGAAACTCTTCAGGAGCTGCTCAACATCGCGGTCATCCGAGCGAAGAAAGAACTGGTAGAAGTCGAACTGGAATACGCAAATGCAACAAGGTGGTAAGCACCATCTTGGTCCCTACAGCAGCACTTCAAACGAAACTGAGCGCAATAGGCCTACGTACCACGGACGTCTTCTCAGAGTCCAGCCAAATCGCGTTGCCTGCGGACTTGCCGTACTTCTCTCCAGTGGCCGTCGTCAAGAGGGCCAACGTCGCTCCGAACACCTCCTGTCGTAGCGCATCACCGGCAAACACGCATAATACAGTAAGTATTGAAATCTCAATCGGAAGCAGTGATGATGAATGACTCCCACCTCGCCCGCGCTCTTACGAACGAGCTCGATGCCCGAGGCGATGTTGCCCCACTGGTCGCTGCCTCCGATCTGCACGACGCAGCCGTGGTTCTTGTACAGGTGCAGGAAGTCGTACGCCTGGAAGAGCTGGTACGAGAACTCGAGGAAGCTGATGCCCTGGTCCGTCTCCAGCCGCTTCTTGACGCTGTCGCGCTGCAGCATCGCGTTCACGCGGAAGTGGCTGCATCCACCCCACACCGCTCCGTGAGCCCCCAACCACCACAAGACATAGAGACAGACTCAAACTACTGCAGCCACTACACGCACCGGCCGATGTCCCGCATCCACGTGACCGCCGACATGTTGGTGTGCCACTCGGCGTTGTTCATGATGACGGCGCCCGTCCTCGGGTCGTCGAAGTCCAGCACGGGCGAGAGGCCCTTGGCGATCTGCTGCGCGTTGTGCGCCACCGTCTCGTCCGACAGCAGCACGCGCTCCTCCGACTTGCCGCTCGGGTCGCCGATCATGCCCGTGGCGCCGCCCACCAGCAGGATGGGGCGCAGGCCCGCGCGCTGGAAGTGGCGCAGCGCGATGCCCTGCAGCAGGTTGCCCAGGTGCAACGAGTCCGCCGTCGGGTCGAAGCCGCAGTACACGGCGGGCGCGCGCGAGCCCTGCAGCAGCGCGTCCATGGACTTGCCGGCGCTCTCGTGCGTCAGCGCGGCCAGCATGCCGCGCCCGCGCAGTGCCGCCACAGCTCGGCTCATGCTCGTCAGAATGGGATCGGCGTTGTGCGGTGATGGAGGCGCGGTGCATGGGATGTTGCGCCAAGGTTGCGCCAAGCGGTTAACTCAAATGTACTGACGACGTTGAAGTGAGCAAACCTGCGCGGAGGTTAATTGAACGGAAACGCAACAGACCGAGCGTGCAGTAGCCGCCAATGAAACCAGCAAGAGCTGTTAAGTGTAATAGCTCGTTACCTGTATGAACTTGGCATGCTAATGCACCTCGCCTCGTACCGGCACGTCTACAGAATACGCCGCACCTCGAGCGTACGCCGCAGGAAGGAGATCTGCGCCACAGAGACGACCCCCAACACGACCATTTCGACGAGCGTCCACCACAGGACACGGGCGTGTGTGCTTGTGATCACTGCAACAACAGAGCAAACACAGACAACAGAACGGTACATATTGTTCAGTCCCAACCATGTCAAGCGCGACACCTTTCACAACTCGCTGGTCATTTGCACGTGCAGAACGTACGATCATTGTGGTGGTTCGTGATCGCCTTCATGTACGCTTGGGTATCCTTGACAGTGTCGAGGTTCACGCTGAGCTCGTACACGATGTCCTCCAGCTCCTGCACTTGCTCTGCAGTCAAGCACCGAGAAGCCAACACAAGCCACTTCGTCAGACCCCAACTCGACCCAATGCAACTCAAGGCAGCGCAGGACACTCAACTGATCTTGGTGGCGTCCGCGTTGGACAGCACCTCGTGGCTCGGGTCGTCTGCGTGGAAGGAGAAGCCGATGGTGACGTCCCCCACGGGCGCGCGCTCGTTCTTGAAGCACACGGCGTGCATTCCGCCCTCCCCGATGGGGCTCACGTACCTCCCGGACGGGCCCTTGCGCGCGTACACGACCTGGTCCTTGCCGTCCGTGAGCTCCGTCTCCAGCTCCTCGGCCACGCCACGTAGCACCTCGTAGTTGAGCGAGATGCCGTGCTTGAAGTTCTCCGCCTCCACGGCGAAACACTCGGCGGCGCCCGACGGGATCGTCACCTGCATCGCGTCGGCAGCCAGCGGCGCCGTGCAGCCCGCGAGCGCGAGCGCCAGCAGCCCCAGCAGCGACGTCACCACCGTCATCTTCAGATCGGATCTATTGTGTGTCTGGCGGCCTTAAATGCGGTGCGTCACGGTACTGCGCTCGTCCCACTTCAAATCCGTTGACAATCAGAAGGACAAGGTAAAGCTCCCGCCGACGACGACGAGATGCAGAGCGTGCGCCGCCAGCTCGACCGCCTGTTCGCGGTGCACATGGTCATCGCGGTGGTGACGGGGGCGCTGTGCTTCCTCACGCCGCACTCGCTCATGACGCCCATGCTGGGCGACGCCAGCAACGACACGCACCTGGCGCACGAGTTTGTCAGACTCTACGGTGCGGCGCCGGAATCCTGCTACAAGCGTTGAAGACGCCGAAGCTGACCTTATTTATTTACTGCTGTTGCAGGCGCGCTGACGCTGGCGCAGGGCTGGATGGTGTGGCGCACGCGCCTCGTGAGCGACGCGCTGATCCGCCGCACGTTCTGCCAGGCCTACTGCATCTGCTTCCTGCTGCAGGCGGTGGCGCTGCTGCGCGCGCAGTTGGCGTCGCCCGAAAGCCACTCGATGCTGCACTGGGTCAACATCCTGCTGCTCGGCGGCTTGGGCTGCGCCTACGGCTACTTCCTCGTGTTCAAGACCATCAAGGCGTTCGAGCTGCCAGGCATGGAGAAGGGGTTGCTGTGAGCTGACTGTGAGTACCGGTAAATCCCCCAAGCACAGTAAGAGATTTGATTGCTGGAAACTCCTTACTTGTATTCGTAAAACTTGTGATGACAATTGACCCCCGCGGTGTCAACGGAGCTGCTCAGATGTTGAGAGGATCGTCAAATGTACCCGCATGCTCGTCGGTATCATTTGGCTGCGTTTGGGTCGTAGCAGGTGCAGGCTCGGCGGTAGTCGGGGGACTACTCAGGTCGATAACGTCCGCGTTGGAGGCAGGAGCACTGGCTGCAGGGGTGCTGGATATGGGGGCACTGGCTGCAGGAGCGCTGCTCGTCGACTCTGTGGCGTGCGGTCCAGCAGTCGGCACAGGAGGCGTCACGGACTGCACTAGCGTCGGCGACATCTTGCGCTTTTTCCTCACTTGCAGGAGATTAATGGGGCTCGCAGCAGTGCTTCCATCCACGTTCTGGAAGGCACGCGCAATGGGGGCAGCTGGCGGGTTTTTCTTTCTGGCGGTGAGGACTTTGGGCATAGCTTGCTCCGTTGATGCGGCCTGGGTCTGGGTCTGACTTCTAGCTTTCTTGCGCGATTTCTTGGGAGTCGAGAACATCCGACGCATTTTGCCCTCGTTCAGCGAGGCATGGTCTACACAAACCAGGGCAACCTGTTAGTACGTCGTGCTGAATGAATACATGACGATAGCAGTAGGGAGCTCACCTGTGCGAGATACGCTTGTGCCGAAGAAACCGTCCTCAAACTGGATGAAGGAGATGTAGCCATCGGTGGACGAAATGCTAAGCGTCTGGCCGTCCGACGTCCAGCTCGCATCGGTTAAATCCGCGTAGTGCAATCCCTTTACTGTGCAGATCGGGTGGGGTTGCTGTGATTCCAAGCACATATATTGAATCATCAAGCCGGTCAGTCATCATCAACAGGGAGTGCAGAGGATGCCAGAAAGATATGTACCTGTGTGTCGTAAATAACGACAGCGTCTAGAGTAATGACAGCAAAGATTGACCGGTACTCCGTCTTGAAAAAGTTGGGCGGTGGGGAGTCGTCTGCCTGGTCATCTTGTCGGCGCAACTCGTACAGCAGCGGACTGCAACGGACGCCAAGCGAGGCCTTTTCCTGTCCCGGCAAGTGCAGCGTGGGCTGGCTCAAATTGCCACGAGAGAACGCGTAGACGGTGTTGACCGCCGACGCCGACTCGCTCGCTCGAAAGGTTCCGGTCGGCGCCAAAAAGTAGCTTCCGTCTGGCGTCCACGCCGGTCGACGCGCGAATGCAGGGCACGTATCATCGAGGAACATTCGGTGCTTCGGAGCCGGCGGGGCTTTCGTAGCGGCAGCAGCAGCAGTAGTGGTAGCAGTTGTAGCCTCCCCATCGCCCTCCTTCTTCTCCTCTGCCTCGTCCTTGGCTTTACTTAAAGCAGAGGCCGCTCCGCCCTGGGAAGTCGACGGGAACTCGCGCGTCTTGAGCGTCTGGATGCACATGAACTTGCGGTTCTGCTTCTTTCCATTGGGACGCGTGGCCGCGCCGAAGCCGCTGAGCGAGTAGACTCGGCACGTGCGGTCGTTGCCCTCCGTGACCAGAAACTCGTTGAGCGGGTCCCACGCCACGCCCTGCACGTACTGCGTGTGGTCCTTGCGGCGCTCGGCCACGTCGCCCTTCTCCACGTCCCAAATGACGCAGCGGTTGTCGACCGACGAGGAGCAGAGGAAGGCCGAGTCCGGGGACCACGACAGGTCCGTGATGTCGCCCTTGTGGCCCAGCGACAGGATGGTGCGCCCCACGTCGCTGAGCGACGAGATGCGGTCCCAGCGCCAGTCGTCGCCCGCCGTCTTGGGCTTGGACCAGAGGATGATGGACGTGTCGTCGCTGGCCGACGCCAGGTACGCGCCGTTGGGCGAGAAGCGCACGCAGTTGACGCTGCGGTCGTGGCCCGAGAGGCTGAAGACGAACTCCAGCTCCACGCCCCCCGCGGCCTTGGCAGCCTCGGCGTCCTTGTCCTTGTCCTTGTCCTTGCTCTCCTGGGTCTTGGGCGGTCCGACGCGCCAGAGCTTGATCTCCTTGTCGGCGCCGCCCGTGACCAGCAGCGGCTGCTCCGTGGTCGTGCTCGCGCCCTCCGCATTAGGGCGCAGGAAGTCCAGCGACAGCACGGCCTCGTTCAGCCCCGTTGGGCCGCAGTGCAGCCGGATCTCGGGCGTCGCCACGCGCACCGCAGTCGCTGTCGCCGTCGCCATTTTCCACTCTCAAAAGTTTTGATCTTCCCGCCAAAACCGAGCGATGTCCCGGCTAAGTGCGAACATTTATGACCGGAATACTACTGTAGTAGTCTTAAAATACGTATCAAATAGCGTAATAATCATAATAATAGGCACAGTAAGACACAGCAAGCCACAGTAGTAGATGTACACTGTACTACACAGCTACAATACTGCTATAGCACTACAACCACGCAAATAAATATTTGACGTTCACGCAACCCTTTTCCAGTGGATGAAGCAGGTACATAAACCCCCCAACCAACCGGTGGTAGACACCTACCGGTACAGAAGACCGTATTATCTCTGGTACGCAGTATATTTAAAGGCGATGGATTGATTTTGTTCATACATAATTTCCTCTTTGTCTCCCACAGTCACTTTGGCTTAAATGCATCACTTTAGTTCGTTTTTCTGAGCTTATATGGTGTATGTTGCTCGTCAACGCTTCTATCCTTGCGTGTACTTCTAAATTTTCCAGAAATTAGGGACTACGTTTGTAAGAGGTCGATCTTGTTGGTGACAAAATTGCAGTATTCCAATGGGGATCTGGACACGTTTCATCGCACTTGAGAGCTGGCCAAATCGAACTGATAGCGTTGACAGCGTATTTGCAGCTTCAAGGCAAATTTAGCGCTTCTACTGACTGTACTATTATGTTAGTACATCGAGAATAATGCAGAAATTTGTTTATAATTAATGGGGTAATATTTATGTTAGTAGTAACTTATTACTTTAATAAATTTTCATGATTGCATTACGATACTAGGATAGTATATACATGGTAGTTTGGGATTCGATATGATATGATATCAATACAAATAGTATCTGTATTATTGATTAAGTGCGATATCGTGTGTCCTACATCAGGCCGTCGTCATCGCGGGCGTGGACAGTCCAACATGGATACATGGCGCGGCACCGGCAGATTCAGGCGCTGTCGGCGCCTTTCAGAGCGCGCGAGGCGCGCTAAGCTACATGCATTCCCTGCTCGCGAACATTGAGGAGGTGGGCGCTGCAATTGTGTGTGGCTATTGTTGGGGCGAAGTTTTCGCCCGACGGTGGTAAGATCGGCGCGCTCACTTGCGTTCAGTATGGAGACAACCCCTAGCCCTGCTCTTTGACAATTGGGCGATTACTTCAAGCCGTTGCGCGCCCCGTTCAGCTGCCTCCGCTTCCAGTCCTGCATCGGCGTCACACCCTCGGAAGGGAGAGCTAGCGATGGAGAGCTGGACGGACTACTTCACGTCGCACTTCTACGCCATGAAGGCGCGGCCCGTGTCGGCCTTCGACCCGTCGGGCTTCATCATCGTCGTCTCCTTCTTCCTGCTGCTCGTGGGCGTCGTGGCCGCCACGGCGCGCGCGCTGGTCTCGAGCCGCGGGCTCGTGCTGCGCTCGCGCGTGGAGAAGAACCTGCAGGACATGTCGGACTACGTGTCGGACCAGCGCAACCGCGTGGAGGAGAATCTGCAGTACATCAAGGGCCGCGCCATCGACCACTCGGGCCGCCAGGGCTTCATCGCCGAGATGCTCAGCTACGCCTACCTCTCGCGGCTCGCCTTCTCGCTCTCCATCTTCGCCATCGCCTCGTACCTCAACACGCTGGCGGCAGTCATCGCAGGGTAAGTGCTTGGGTAGCTATTAGCTGGGTGGCTGTATGGATTGATATTGGCGTTGACGCCCTTGTATGTGTGTGTGTGCATTCTCGCAGCTGGCGCACGCCCAACGTCGTGATCCTCAACCTCGCCAAGGAGAGCACCAGCGTCAAGACGCTGCCGGACCTTGGACACGACCTTTTCAAGTTCGTCATGACCAAGATCTACGGCCACACCACGTACATCGAGTGGTTCGACCTGCCCGACGAGTTCCTCGCTGCTGTGGGCACGCTGACGTCATTCATCCTCATCCTGCACCCGCGGGTACGTTTTTCGTCTACAAGTGCTTAGTCTGTAGTGATGACGCAGGGCTAACCGGTGGTTTGCATTGCCGACTGGCGTTCGTTGCCCGTGCAGCGCCTGCTGATCTTGCGTCGCTTCTGCTTCATCTTCGCTATCATCAACCTCATGCGAGCTTGCTGCGTGGCTGTCACGTCACTGCCCGACGCCAGCCCCATGTGCATCTCCCAGTTCGACAGCGAGCGCGGAGACTACAAGTCGCTCCCCATGTTCCCGAAGGCCTTCTTCCGCGCGTGGAAGGTGTTGATCCGCCCGTCACAGCACATTACCTGCGGTGACATGATCTTCAGCGGCCACGCTGTCTTTTTGATGCTCTGCTGCATGTTCGCCCAAACGGTTCGAAGCCTCAACCTAAGTTATGCGTGATCCAGAGGAAGCCAGACTTTGCTAACATAAAGTCCTTTGTGCGCTGATGTCTGCAGTACTGCTCGCGCTCAGAGCTGAACACTCCGTTCACGCGCCGCTACCCGTACGTTTTGTGGATGATCCGCTACTACAATTACATCCTGTCGGCGTTCGGCCTCTTTGCCATCGTTGGCACGCGGTTGCACTACACGCTTGACGTCCTGATCGCCGTCTACATCACGGCTCAAGTCTGGTTCACGTACCACTGGCTCATGAACCACCCGGAGAACAGCTTTGCGGTGATCAACTGGCTCGAGCATGAAGAAGTGCACCTGGTCGACCATAACGCTTACCGGAAGGCGCGACGATCTGGCAGCCAAAGCGAGCGGATCGACAAGATCGACTAAGTCTGGTAGAGTGACCTTAGACGGCTAGGAAAGCGCTGGAAAAGAAAAAAAAGATAGCGCAGCAATGCAACCACAAACTACAATACAAACCATAGACTCTGTAGAGAACGCACCAGCCAGCATCTCACTGTCAGGCCCTACCGCGTTTTCTTGTTATCAGACTCGTCCTCCGCCTGCGCATTCGCCTCCTCCTTCTGCAGAGCTTGCCGAAGTTTGTGCTGCAGGTGCTCCTCGACGACTCCCCACTCGCTGTTGATAGCGGCAAACACAACCGTGTCGCAGTTGCAGTTTTTGATGATCCTGTGCTTCCTCATGACGCCTTCGAAGGTGAACCCCAACGAGTGCGCAGCTCGGCGTGCGCGTACGTTGTGTCCGTCGCACCGCCACTCCACTCGTCGATATCCGCTATCAAACAGGTACGTCAGCACCAAGAGCACCACCTCCGTCAGCGCCGCTGTCCCTTGAAACGCTGGGGCGAGCCACACGCCCATGAGCTCAATGCGGAGGTTGCGCGGCGAGTGATCCCCGAGCATCAGCATCCCGATCGCCTGCTTGCTCTCCCGATCCGCCACCACAAAGTGCCTGGCGTGTGGTTGCTCAGCGGAGTAGAAGCTCTTGAACTCCGCCAGAGACGCGAAGGGCCCGTGCGGCAGGTAGCGCCAGATCATCTCGTCCGCGTCGAAGCGCAAGTCGCGGAAGATGCCGCCGCGCGGCTGGCCGCAGGAGATGGCAAAGAGATCCGCGACGTCACTCGAGACCTCAAAGTCCCTCACGCACACGCGCCTCCCCTCTAGCGCCCTGTCCTTCCCGAGAGGAGGCGGCCGGGCGCTCAGCCTCTGGGACTTCTCCAGCAGCTCGTCGTACAGCAGCGGCTTCTGCTCGCCCAGCGTCGCCGGCAGCCCCACCGCCTCCTGCGTCATGCGGTCGAACGATCCACCCTGGCGCAGCAGCAGGAACACCGCCACGAGCGATCCCACGAACACCAGGGCGCCCGCCGCGATGCCGATCAGCACCACGGGCGTCAGCATCTTCGCTTGTCAATCAGTAGAATATCTTCGCGGCTAGAATGAAGTACTGAGTTCGTAATTTATTAATAGTATGCATTACTTTTATCAATTATAAAGTATAGAATACAAATGTTATGTTTGAAGTAGATGCTACTTATGTAAATAACGTGCGGCGGCCGACACTGTGATCGACATTCATCAAGACTGAAGCAGCATGAACGCGGCGCAGGCGCCTTCGCAGAGCAAGCGGCCGCCCGAGAAGGGCTCGTTCCCGCTGGACCACTACGGCGAGTGCAAGCCGGCCATGAAGGCGTTCCTGGCCTGCATGCGCGAGCACGGCAACAGCCACATCGACTGCAAGAAGCTCTCGGCCGACTACCTCCAGTGCCGGATGGACAAGTGCGTTCGAATGAGTGGCGGGGTTGTAAGACGAGTGAAGGTCTCACCTAATGGGCTGCTGCTGCTGCTGCTGCTGCTGTTTGGGTGTATAGGGGGCTGATGCAGCCGGAGGAGCTGGAGAAGCTCGGGTTCCACGAGGAAGGCATGAAGAAGACGTGGACGAACAAGACCAACGAGGGCAGAAAGGAAGGTGGGGAGGCAGGACCACGCATGCATACCGAGACAGCTGAGGACTGACGATTGTGAATGCTTTATTTTACCCCAGTGGAGGGCTTCGTGGCAGGTATGGGCATCAAGAAGCCGCGCTACGACAAGAAGGACTAGCTTCCGCACCGTGTTCACGCGCGTCCTCTCTGTCATTGACGACAAGAGAGCAGCACCCCTCCCTCTCTAGATATCTATCCTAACAAGACAGACCACAACTCCGACACTTATTTCCCAGCACGGCGGCTCGCTGCTGTCTCCAGTTCCAAGATGCGCATGCGTAGCGCACTCATTTCGGCCGCAGCTTCGCGTGCGTTGGTCTGCAGTTGTTGCTCTAGAACCTGGACTCGCACACGCAGAAGCGCCTCTCTTGTCTCACTGCCGTTGCTGTCCCCATTATTGCTGCTGTCTAGTGGCTCGTGCTGACGTGGTGGTGACCGCTCCGGTGCCTCCGCTGATTGCTGCGCCACCGTCTGCTCGAACTGTCGGATCACTTTCTCCTGCATGCGCACCGCTTTCTGGCAAGAGTACAACGTGGGGGGTGAGTCACCGTCTACACTGCTTCATTGTGGCCTCACAGACCATGTGCTCACCTTCAGCGCTGCGGCGTGTTGCTTGTCGCGCTGCAGACGCTGTACCAGGGCTGCCTGCACGAGATGAGCTTCCTGCAACTGGGTGTAGCGTGTCTCTAGGTCGGCGTACGAGTCCAACGAGTGTTGAGCGTCTGCGAGTTGCTGCTTCACAGCCTGGTATTCCTGATCCAGCTCTTTATACTTGGAGGCGAGTAAAGAGAAGCGCTGTGAAGCGGCTTGCAAGGGGAAAGCGCCAGTGTTACCATTGGTGGAGGCAAGCAACTCCGATAGTTGCTGCTGCTCTCGACGCTGCGCTGCCTCAACCTGCTCTCTGAGACCCTGTAGCTGCTCATCTTTTTGGCGTGCTGCTCGCTACGAAGACACAGATTCAACGTCAGTAAAATGGCAAAGCAGACTGCAGCCATTTGGCAGAGCTCACCCGTAGCGCCACGATCTCCAAGCCACAGGTCTTGATGGCGGCTAAGCGCGTGTCCAACTCATTCTGGAGCTGAAGATTGAGGAGAACGCGAGGTGGACATCAGTGCACTGCATTATGTACGGCGCTTTGAAGGGAAATGACGTACCCGTTCTATCTGAACGCGCTGCGCAGTCCCCTCCGCCTGCAGGTGAGCAAGCTGATCTCTCAGTAACGCGTTGGTCTCAGCGCTCTCCTTGCTGCAATGTTGAGTGGTCGAGCTTGGATGAGGTGGCTGCTGAGCTTGAGTTGATGATGCATGCTCAGGGCCGTGATTGGACTCTCCACTAGAGGAAGACTCGGCGAGAAGTTCTGCCAGGATACTGGACACGCCGCCAGAATCGCAGATCGAAGCTACGGGGTGGCGGTTCATTCCTCGCAAAAGCGCCCCCATCCAAGTGGGCGTCGGTCGCGGCAACCGCTTCCAGCGGTTTGTGCAGACAACTCGTCGAGCTGGGGTGTCGTCTACGAATGCCTTCCATGCTGCAGTACTCCACCAGCGCAGACGCAAAGCGATGTGGCCCAGGACCCGTGAGCTATCGCCATAGAGCTCTATCGGGATCACGGTTTGTCGCAGTGGTGAGCCATCTCTCTTTACGGCCTGGACAGAAGCAGCAGAGAGATCGAGATGACCGCAACCGATAAGATTGTGGGGCACTGCTGACGTTTTGAAGAGCGCAATGTTCACTACAGCGGCAGAAGTGTCTTGGTTGCTCTCCACTGGCACGGCGAAATTGAACGGAAAGAACCACTCGTAGACCCCTGAAGCGCTGCCAGTAGCCGAAGCTGAAGACGGCGTGACCCCAAGCGTTGAATCTGCATTCGGGGCATTGATGGTGGCAGAATAGGGCACATCGAGACTTTGGCCATCCTGGAGGAGTGTGAAACAGTCTTCGAGCTTATCGACAAGGGGCGATTTGACGCCACCAGCAGCGTTAAAGTTGATCGCGGTGGCAAGACTTGTGCAGTCAGGCGGCAGTCCCTCGTCTTCGCTGCCAGTGACGACAACAGGAGTGAAGGACTCCACCATTACCTCGACCTGCTCCAGACTCGAGGCTTGGCTTCGAGGCGACGCGTGCAGAGACACATAGATGCACCCAGTTGAAGGAGTTTTCGAGTCAACCGGCGGGAAAGCAAGCGCTAGACGTGACTGCTGCAGTTGACATTCGAGGTGGGCCAGTGGCAGCACACAGGTACCGAGCAAGAAATCTTCCTGGTGACTGGCCCCGCGCTCCACGAGTTCGAGTTTCAGACTCAAATATCGAGCTTCTGGTGTTGCTGCTGCTGCTGCTGATGATGATCCTGTTGATTTTCCTTGATCGGATCGCTGTTGCATTTCGGGTGAAGCCTCGGACCATCCTGCTGGCAATGGAATGGCGAGCACCTCGTTCCATGAAGGCGAAGCGCTTCCTTCTACGACGCGCGTTGAGGCGTATGGAGAGCATTTTTGCTCGTACAGCACTCGGCCTTCGGTGTACGAGGACGTCGAGGCTGATAGGTCTCCCGCGTTGTTGTCGTTGTCGGTACCTCGAAGGCATTGCACGACATCGGGCGACGCAGCGAACGTCCCCACTGAGGCGACCACGTAGGTGTTGAGTCGGTCTCCTCCGTCCAGCTCTGTGAGTGCGTCCCTGGGCACAAGTGCATCCAGACGCCAGCCAAAGTGCACAAGGACCGTCAACAGGTCTCTTCCCCGTGCACCCGACGCAGTAAAGGGTCTACAAATGATCGGCATCAGAGCAATTAGCCACCAATGACACATTCAATCTAAGCTAACCGGAGGTGTGGAGGTCACGCACCGCGTGTGACGTTGGTGGCCGGTGACATCCACAGCGACTGCGGTGGCCGGCTCCTCCGGTTGCAGCGCCAGCGGCTCGTGCAGAGAGGACATGCATTCCCTCCCCTCCCTGACACTCGACCAGTAGTAGTCGGCGTCTCCTCGTAACGCGACGCGAAACGACGTTTGGATCTTAAAGGGGCATTGGGGGAGCTCGAGCATGCCGTACGACTCGGTGGCGCTAGGCGTTGTCGCCAGCCCTGGGGCGTCACCGCGGGGCTCGCAGCATGTGGCCGAGTCCTTCTACTACACGCTCGTGTTCCCGGTGCCCTCGGTGCGCGAGATGCCGCGCGTCAGCTTTGGCGAAGTGTGCGAGATGCTGCGAGGGGTGACGGCGGGGGGATCGGGGCGAGAGGCTCGGGCGATCGACGAGATGCGCGCGGCGTGGGAGGCCAAGTTCCGCTCGGGGCCGCCCATGGCGCAGGACTTGATCCCGTTCTCGGCCCTGCAGGAGCTCGTGCGCGACGTGGTCCTCGCCCGCTTTTCCGCTCTGCCGGGGATGACGGTGCGCTCGCGGACGGAGACCCAAGGCAGTGGACGGATACTGCTGAGCTTCCGCCCCTCCCCAGCGCTGCTGAGGGCCACGGCGGAGCGACTCAACGTCCGAGTGCCGTGCTCGGTGGCACTCGAGCTTGGAAAGGAAGGAGCAAAGCTCTGGGGCCAAGCCGAAGCCCAAGAGGAGATCTACCGACTCTTCCTGGCAGGGAAAATCACCGCGGAGGACGCGCAGATCTACGACTACGAAGACAGCGGCATGTGGTCCCGTCGACTGCGAGCTCTGCAGCGCTTCTCGTCCAAGATCCGGGTGCAGGCTGAAGAAGACGCGGTGTATCTCCCGTTCCGAGACCTTGCAGCGCTGCGTTACGTCTACCGGCAGATTGACGACGAGGGGGACGGCGGGGGCGACGTTGACGGCAGTACGCTGTCGCCGTTCCGTGTGGCGGACAAGATCCGCATGACGAAGGCACTGATCGATGCCGAGTTCGACTGCGACGCCCTGATGGAGCGCGGACTGCTGGATCATCACCTCTGTCCGCACACGCACCGAACAACTGACGTGGACACGTCCCTGGATGTGCTTCGAGTGCAGTGGGGCGCGTTCCCAAGCCCCTGGGAGGTCTTTTGTGGTCTGTTCAGGTGGCTGCGCAAGACAGAACCGGCAACGGATCCTCTCGTCCACGTCCGGAACTACTTAGGAGAGCAGCTCGCACTATGTACGTACGTCAGTCTTCTTGGTGCCGTTGTGCTGTACTTGCTAATGCGTCTTCGTTGTGTGATCTTTCCCTTAAGATTTTGCGTTTGCTTCGTTCCACGCTGATGCGCTGAGAACTCTCGGGTTTCTGGCGCTGGTGCTCAGCCTTGTATCGTCGAAGATGTTCAACTCGAGGCAATCAGAAGCGTCTTTCTGCTTGTGTTCGTGCGCTTTCCTGGGCATCTTCGTGCGCAAATGGGAACTGCAGGAGGCCCGCCTCGCCGCTCGCTGGTCTGGCGGCACCCCCGGAGACGGCGATAATGCAGTGAACCCGCTGCTGCAGCTGCCGCGACCGCAGTTCCGAGGCCAGATGCGACGGAGTCCTGTGACTCTGCGCCTAGAGCCATACTTTCCTGTGGGGAGGGCCATCGCTCGTCGGCTGACGGCAGCGTCGGTGCTTGTGCTCATAACCTTGCAACTGGGGGCGAGCAACGCGGTGCTGGTAGCGAGCAACCGCTTTCAGAGTCTCGCGGCCGAGACGTCGTCACGGTTCAACGTGGCTCTAGGAGTGATCGCGCTGATAAGCAAGTGCGCCACGCCGCACCTTGCACGTTGTAGCAGGGCACTCACCGACTGGGAAAACCACCGTTTGCAGCGGGACTACGACTCGCAGCTAACGTTCAAGTTTGCGGTGCTGCAGAGTGCCAATTGCTTTGGCGCGCTGTGGGGGTTGGCGTTCTTGAGGCCTCTCCGCTGTCGTTTGGGCGAGTGTCGAAGCTCCGATCATGCCAAAGTGAACATGTCGAGCCACGATCAAGCCGCACGGATGCTGCTGATCATGCTCGGGCTTGACGTAGCCCTGGCGCTGTGGGGTCTTCGCTGGGCCGTTTGGCGTCTGCTTTGGGGTGCCGAGCCGAGGAGAACTGACGCGTCGACAGAGCTGACAGCGAGGCCAATCCGAAAGAACGAAGGCGCTAGCGGGCCGAGTGCAGCGCTACTCGCCTCAGCCTCATCGGCACCGTCCTCCAGCGGTTCAAGCATTGAAGATGACTTGGCGTTAGCGCCGTACGAGGGGGTGTTTTTCGACTATGCGCAAGTGCTGGTGCCATTGGGTTTTGTGGCTTGGTTCGCACCCTTAGCTCCGCTCCCAAGCTGCATACTGGCGTGGCTTGTCGCGACACTGCAAGTGCGCGTGGATGCTCACAGTCTGTGCTACGATACGCAGCGCCCCTTTCCGATCCAGGCTCTGTCTCTTGGCTCGTGGCTCGGTTACCTGCACGTGCTGCGGATTGGCGCTGTCGTGCACTCCACAGTTTTCATGCTGATGATTTTGCTGGATACGACTGGGGATGACGTGGATAGCAAGACGTTCGAGCAGCGAGTGGTGGGAATGGGCGCGCTGTTTGCTTTCGTCGGCTGGGTCGCGTACGTGTTGAAGGACCATCAAGATCTTGCTGAGGGGCGGCGTCTCGTGGCGCTGCGAGTCCGACAAGCGGCGCTACAGAGTAAATACCTCGGGCATTTGGGCACGCACCTCGCAGCGAGTGCCAAGGCAGCGCTGCCTGCCGGGCGGGTGTTCCTCAACGGCGTACCGCGCTATGTGGTTACGGGTGACAAGGGCGAGGAAGACGCCGCCGAAGAGCTTCGTGACCAGTGGCGACAACAGCAAATGCAGATGCTGGCGTTGGAGAAGAGGGTAGTGGAGCTGCGGGACAGCGAAGATAATGCGACCAGCGTGGGCGTGCTTTACGTGGAGGTGCAGGGCGTGAGCTTGCTTCCGATTGCGTCGCCTATCAACTCCTTTGTGCAGTTTTGCGTGCAGTCGGGGACTGCAGGGGCCGCTAGTGGAAGTTCACGAGGCGACTCGATGGCTATGAAGTCGCTGGAAGGAACCAAAGGTGCGGTGAAAGGGTCAGGGGGTCGCACTGCCCCGCCACTTCCGACGCAAATGGCCAACACATCGGTGAGCAAGAAGAGTCGTTCACCACTGTGGCACGAGAGCTTCGAGCTGCCCGTGACAGCTCTGGGGGACGTGCTAGCACTGCGTGTGTGCGAGGGAGGTCCGGCGTTATCGTCGATGGTGCAGCGCCGTGTATTGGGCCGCGCGCAGCTTGCAATTGAAGACGTTGTCACGCGCACTAGTAGCACCAACACGATTCCTACCATGTCAGCGCCAGCGATACCTGCTGCCACGACTAGCGAAGCAGTGGAGACAAAGTCGATCAAGCCAAAGTCTCCGTCTTCGTCTGCCTCGTCGTCTGAGGCTGAGGACGAGGCAGTTGACATCACGTCACGTCGACCTTCAGTACCAAAGCGCCGATCTTCGAGCTTCAGGCCATCCTTGCGAGTAGTAGACGTGCCGATGGCGACGTACGAGTTGCCACTGGAACTGCCGGAGGCACTGAGACGCACAAAGCAAGCAGAGTTGGCCAAGCACGGACCTCCGCGACTAGCGCTGCGTTGCGGCATTCGTCTTAACGAACTGGGCTCGCTGCTCGTACAACAAAGGCGACTTCGTGAAAAGCTGGCGCTCGTGCGCTCGCAGGAGGTTCAGCTGTCGAGCTGGGGAGGAAGCTAACCGAAGAACAAATGAGTTGGTGAATAACTTAAGGCGTCCATTTGTGTGGTTGTCTATCTACCTAGATTGGGGAATCCGGTCGGCTGGCTCAGCGGAGCTCCATGGACTCGCGGACCCAGAAGAACGTGGGGGACTCCTGGCCCTCCCTAGCGCTGTGGATTTGGCCCTGCGGATGGTGGTCGAGGTACTGCTGCTGGGCCTGCAGCTCCCACTGCGCCCTCGCCACGGCGTGTTCGTTGTAGACGCGGCCTGCGCTGTCGCTGCCTGGGCTCCCTCCGCTGCTGTCCGAGTCGTGCTCCGTCATGTACTTGGACAGCGTGCGCTTGCGGGCCTCCGCCTTCATGTTGGTGACGCCCACGTCGCTGCCGCCGCCTCTGCCAGTGATTCTTCGCATGAGGTAGAGCATCGAGATGGTCGGGAAGACGTTCGGGATGATGTTGTACAGTATGAGGTACACGATCATGGACATGGCGATGCCGGACTCGTTGAGCACCAGCGCCAGCAGGCGCACGACGTCCGAGACGATGAAGATGAAGACGGCGAGCATGAGCTGGTTGAGGGACTTCTCGACGCTGCTGGCGGGCACGGTGCCGCGCGCGAGCAGCAGGCGGCGGCGCAGGCGGAAGCCCTGGTAGCCGAGCAGCACGCCGTACGCGAGCACGACGAGGACCCCGGCGTAGGTCAGCACGGCGCGGAGCGTGCTGCTCATAAAGCTGTACTGGCCGTAGACATCGTCGCTGTAGCTGGAGAGCAAGATGGGCACGAGCGCGCCCCAGAGCACGAGCAGCGCGTTGAGCACCGTGACCAGCTTGGTCATGCGCCGCCGCGCGACGCGCTGTCCGGCCGAGACGACGCCGGCCCAGCAGATGGCCAGGTACGACTTGCAGAAGGACAGCAGCAGCAGCGCGTAGAGGCGGCACACGTACATGGCCTCCCAGCTCTGCGACGTCGGGTACCAGATCCACTCGACGGCCTCGGGCAGCTGCAGCAGCGTGGCCACCAGCAGCGTCGCGTGGAAGGCCTTCTTGGCGCCGCGGCTCGAGTGGCGGAAGTGCAGCGTCGTGCGCCACGCCACGGCCAGCGACAGCGGCACGTACAGTAGCAGCGACAGCCAGCCGCAGGCCCGCAGCGCTGTGAGCTGCCTCTGCAGCAGCGTGTCCGAGCCGTCCTGCTCGTCCGCAGCGAAGTTGGTCGTCGCGTCGGTCGCGTCTAATGCGGCCGCGTCATTTCCTGTCCCTGTGGCGTCGCTCATGTTGAAGGCGGAGGCGTCTGTCGCCAGTAGCAGCAGCACCAGCATCGGAGGCAGCAGCAGCCGCGGCAGGACCCACGCAGGGCCCGCGAGCTCCGCGGCGACGGCCATGACTCGCTCCGTGCTTCTACCGCGCGAAAGCTGAACTGACTTCCCTTTCTCTAGCTGTCAACGAGGGTACGGAGCGCGCCACACCAACTGCACACACCACTTTTCCATTCAAAAAGCACGTCACTTCGAGTTTGTCCATATGCTGCCCCATCTTGGGCCCGCTCGCACGCCAAGCTTCTTGCCGCCGCATGCTGCGCAGATCCTCGCGCGTGCGAGCAGGCTCCCGGACCCGATCCGAGAGCGCCGAGGCGTCTTCATTGTAGCGCCATCATTGTATGCGATGATATACCAGCGGGCGGGCGGCCGGGCGAGCGGAGACCGAGTCGATGGTCGCTCGAGCGTCGGGCCGCGCCGGGCGTGTCTAATGGCCCGCTCGTAGAGACGGGATCGGGGCCGTCATGCGTCGTCGTCCTGCCGGCCCCAGCACAGCCGGAGATCGCCGCTCAAATCGACCACGCGAGCTCTCGAGCCGACGGCCGCAACACCAAGGTCGGAAGAGCTCCATCCGACTCATCTGCCGCATTGCTGCTGCCGCTGCTCTTTGCGCGATCCTGCCGGCACTGCGGCACGCGCGACCAAGACGCTGTCGGTGTTGGTGAAGCCAACGCCGAGGCCGATGGACGCATGCAGGCAGGCAGGCAGGCAACAGGCAGCCGCCATTCCCATGGTAAATCATCCGCGCCGGCCCCTTCTGTGCTGGTTTTTGGCCTATCGCAGTGAAGATTTAGACAGTCCTCAATTGGGGCCAAGCGTATCAGCAGGCAGAGAAGCTGAGAGCCGAGGATCCTCCTCGCAATGCTGCCGCCGACCTCGCACGCGCGCCGCAGCAGCGCCAGCGCCGCCAGCGACGTCGTCTACGGGCGGGCCTCGGTGCTGTCGGCCGCCTCGGCCTCGCGCGCCGAGCGCCAGCCGCTGCTGGCCGGCGCGCCGCCGCCCCAGGTGTTCGCGCACCCGGTCGAGTGCGCGTCGCTGACCAGCCGCCTGCTGCTGCAGTGGGTCACGCCGTCCGTGGCGCTGGCCAACCGCCCCCCGGCCCGAGACCCGTCGGCGTCGGCGCCGCCGTTCCAGCAGCCGCCAGCGTCTCGCCGCCGCCGCGCCCCGTCCTCGTCGGCCACGCGCGGCCTGCAGCAGGCGGACGTCTGGGAGCTGCCGCCTAGCGCGCGCACCGAGCCTGGCGCCAACGACCTGCAGCGCGCGTGGATCACCAGCGGCTCGCTGTCGCTGGCGTTCGTCAAGTCCCACGGCCTGCAGTTCGCTGGACTGGGCGTGCTGCACGGCGTCGTGCTGCTCTGCGACCTGCTGGGGCCCTACGCGCTGTTCCAGGGCGTGCTGCTGCTGCAGGAGCAAGACCAAGAAGGTCGAGACGACGACGAGACCAGACGTGGCCTGCTTATCTGGCTGGGGGCGCTGCTGCTCTCCCGACTGCTGCGCGCGCTGCTGTCGGCCTTCGTGCGCGCGGAGCTGCAGACGTCCACGCTGAGACTCACGGCGGCGCTGCAGAGCCTGGTCTTCCAGAAGGCGCTGAGGCTGCCGAACGCCTCGGTGCGGGAGGCCGATGCGCTCTACAGCGCCGACGTGACGCAGCTGCTGCAGGGCGTGGCGTGTCTTCACGAACTGTGGGCGGCGCCCTTGATGCTGGCGTTGGCTCTGACTTTGATCGAGCAGTTCATCGGTGTCGCTGCCTGTGGGGCGACAGTGGGTGCTGTGGTGCTGACGCTGGCAGCCTCGCAAGTGCTGAATCAACTGCAGTTCCGCGCGCTGGATCGACTGCGCCGGACTCGCGAGGACCGGCAGAGTTCGACCAAAGACATGGTGAACGCCATGCCTGCTGTGAAGCTCCACGCGTGGGAGCCAGCTGCAAGAGCTCGTGTGAACGCCACGCGTGGCCGCGAGCTCGCTGCGCTGTGGCGCTTCCAGGCGCGCGGTGCTGCAGAGACTGCATTTAACTTCGCGATACCGGCTTTGGTGACCACGATGGCGTTGGCGGTGGGTTACCATTCGGCCACGCACCCTCTTACCCCGGCATCTGCATTCGCGACGCTCGCACTTGTGCGTCTAATGCAGACACCACTTCGAGCTCTTCCTCAGGCGGCGTTAGGTGCTCGAGCCGCTTGGCAATCGCTCCAAAGTCTGTCGCACTTCATGGACCAAGACGAGTTGAACCCGTACGCGGTGGCGCGACGAGACAGTCTGGGTATGGTGGCCAAGTACGACCCTCAGGATGTTGTTGTGGCAGTTGAAGACGCCACGTTGGGCTGGGCTGCTAACGGCCCGGTCGTCTTTCAGCACTTGGACGTGACTGTGGGCGCGGGAGAACTGCTCGTGGTTCACGGGCGTCCTGGTAGTGGCAAGTCTTCCTTCCTCTCGGCATTGTTGGGCGAAATGCAAGCGCGTGACGGAAGCGATGGAGGCGGTGGGCGTGTGTACGTGGGCGGATCGGTGGCGTACTGCCCCCAGCAACCGTGGCTGCAGCAGACGCTGTCTGTGCGTGATAACGTGCTCTTCGGGCTTCCGTTTGACCGCCGGAAGTACCAGCGCGTGCTCGATGCGTGCGCGCTCGTGAATCCGCTTGCAATGCTCTCGTCGGGTGACCACACGCTGGTCCAAGACTGGATGCCAACGCCGGCGCAGCAAGCACTTGTGAGCTTGGCGCGTGCTTGTTACAGCGACGCAGATGTGTATCTGCTTGACGAGCCGTTGGCGCGCATACACCCGAGGTCCGCGGCGCGCGAGATCTTCTCTCGGTGTTTGCTGGGTCTGTTACGAAACAAGACGCGGGTCATTGTCACCACTCGCGCCGAGTTTATCAATTCGGAGTTCGTGGACGACGCTATTCGCTTTGAAGATGGTGGCCGACTCGTGCACACCCGGGATATTTATGAAGCTAAGGGGCGTAAGGAGCAAGCCGGGGATGAGGACAGCGATATCGGTGAAGAAGAGCCTGCAGAAGATAGCTGGGTTCACTTCTCTGCGTCTGGTGTTGACGTTGTGAGGGCCTACGAGCCGCCTTACGCCCCAACGGAAGAACCAGCAAATATCGAGCTGCTGTCGATGGAGAATGCTATCAGCACGACTCGCACCGCGTTGAGTGAACGACCGCTGCGCGAGTACCTTTCCTGTGAAACGACAACACAAGCGGACTGGGGCGAAGGTGAGTGGCTGTACAAATCTATCCGAGCCTACGTGCACACCATTGGTGGCTTTCGTATCGCCTCCATTCTCCTCGTTCTGCTGCTCTGCTGGCAAGCTCTACAACTCCTTAGCGAGCTATGGGTGGCCTATTGGGTGCGTTCGAGCGCCGTAACAAGCTTAGCAGCAGATCAACTCATTTACGCCTCGTTGGCATTGGGTGCTGGACTTCTGGCGGTTGGGTATTCGCTGGGAATTGCTGTGGTGGCCGTTGAGGGAGCGCGACGTGCCTTTTTATCGATTGCGTCGGCATTCCTGCACGCTCCTTTGGTTTTCTTCGATGCCTACGGTGCTGGGAGCGGTCGAGCCAGGTCAAAAAGGCTTAGTCTTGCCAGGAGACTCGAGCTCGAGCGAGCCTTCACGGACAAGGACCTCACGGATTTGGATACCAGATTTCCTCTTGCGGTTGGTGCTGTACTCGCGCTGGGACTTTCTACTTTAACGGCTCTGCTGACTGCCGTGGTGGTGACACGCTACTACGCGGTGCTGCTGGCGCCCGTGCTTTACATGTACGTACATGCGGTGAGGTTGTATCTGCGACCAGCTCGTGACCTGGTTCACTTGGAACGGACTGCGCGCCAGGCCGCGCGAATGCATGCGGCTGAGTCTCTAGCGGGAGCACGCGTGGTACGAGCGTTTGGGTTGGGGCATGTGCACGGCGTTCTCGGTCACCACTTCTGGCTTCTGGACGTTGCTGCTCGTGATGCTCACCTTGGTCTGCATATCGATCAGTGGCTAGCATTGCGGGTGCAGCTGTATGGCGCTGTGATCGTCGGGATTGTGGCAGCTTCGTCATTCTTGGGACTACGTCACACGCTGAGCGCGGGTATGCTGTCTCTAGCCCTCTATGAAGCGCTGGTTGTAGATGGTGGGGCACTCGAGTCGCTCGTCCGCGCATGGACCTGGCTGAGCCCGGTGCTCCCGACTGCTGCCCGGACACAAGCTGCCGTGCGAGGAGCAGAAGTGATCACTGAAAGCGCAGCCTACTCGACGTCAGCAGCAAGGCGGGCGTCGGCTCCACTTACCCCGAACGAAGTGAATCCATCACTGTCGTGGCCTACCAAAGGAGATCTGCGCTTTGATGCTGTGAGCTTCCGCGACCCGGCCGCCGCCATTGTTGACGAGCTTACCGACATGTTTGAAATTGGTGATGGTGGTGCACCGCCATTGGCGCTGAAGGCTGTGTCGTTCCGCCTGCAGGCTGGCGAGAAAGTGGCAATTCTTGAGTCGTCCGCAGCCTCTTCAGTGTCGTCCGTGGGCCGCGCCCTGCTGCGTGTGCATGAGCTGACAGCAGGGCGAGTTGTGGTCGATGGCGTTGACGTGGCTACTCTAGGACTGCGCACGCTTCGCTCGCGTGTGGCGTGCGTGTCGGCAGCTGCGCCCAATGGCGCCTTGTATGACGGCTCGGTGCGCACACAACTTGATCCAAGTGGCTCCGATATCGAGGACGAGCGACTGTGGGCTGCATTACGCGCCGTGGGGCTGGCAAACAACGTTGCCTCGCTGGATGGACCGTTTCCAGGCGTGTCCGGACTCCAGCGGAACCCCACCAAGCGGTTTCTGCTCAGTCTTGCTCGAGCACTGTTGGTTGAGCCGTCCGTCGTGGCTTTGGCGCTGGCGCCTGTGCTGGTTGTGCCAGTGCAGGACGAGCTGCAGTTGGAGCCCGAGCCGCAGTTTGCTCTTGACAACGCGACACTTGAGATCCTCCAGCAAGTGATGCACGAGGAGCTGCGTGACGCAACCGTGCTGCTGCTGTTGCCCTCTGCTACGGCATCGCCGCAGCACGACCAGAGTCAAAGGGCGACTTTGCTGAATGACGTGGACCGCGTGCTGGTTGTCGTCGACGGGGAGATGGCGGAGCTCGGGGCGCCTGCGAGTCTGGCCGTTCAAGACCCGGATCGGCTGGAGCGGACGCTCGCTGAGGTACCCAGCAGGTTGGAGCTGTCGGATCTCGAGCACCCCAGTGAAGATGCCGTCACGGAGATGCCTCATCAAGACGAAGAAGAGGAGGAGGGAGGAGTGAGCGAGCGTCCTCCAAGCGATGTGGAGTCCGTGACGAGCGGAGAGCTGGTGATGGATACTACGGACAGCGCAGTCGAGGTGGATAGGGATAGTGCTGTTGAAACGGAGTAAGGTAAAAAGTGGCCAAGTTGCAAAGTTGTGAATAGGTATTTTATAAGAAGTTTAGCTAGTTGGTCTCTATCTATGGGCAATCGCTTCACGAAGAAGAAGAAGACCAAGCAGGATGCAGCTGCAGCTGGGGCGCTAGCAGACCAAAAGGAAATTATCGCTGCTGCAGTGCCAAACTCCGCTGTCCCGGTGTCGGATCCAGCCAGCCGAAAGGACGACGCCCAGACAGCAGCAGACAACGAGGTCGAAGTGCCGCTGTCCGCTCGTCAAGCGCCGCCGACCGCGCGCGATGGCACCGAAGATAGCCCCCTCAACTTCTTCCGACGCTGCTACGAGCTGGACGAGGACCCGTTCACGCTGTACACGCAGGCGCTTTTGCTGAAGGGCCAACGAGAGTTTGCCGCTGCCAGGTAGTGTACTTGTACTGTAGAGATGGAGGCTCCTGGTGCACGAGGAGCTAACGATGAAGGAATGATCCCTCCAGCGAGCTCCTGCGCTGCTTGTTATCCAATGGAAGTCTGGCGGTTGAGGTGCGTAGCCACCTCGCGCAGTGCCTCATCGCCCAAGACCCGGAGTTGAGATGGTGCCGCCAGGAGGCGACGCGATGCCTCGAGGAGGTTCTAGCGGCGACCAGTCCACCGTCCAACAACGCAGACTCTTCCCACTCCGCCATGTATCGCGAGAGCTTGGTACGCGACGCCCTTGCTAACCTACCACAAGGAAACACTAACTCTGAGCGGCTTGTGATCTGTGCAGGAGCTGCTGGCTCATGTGATGATAGCGGGCAAGCGCTTCGACCGCGCCCTGCAGCTTCTCGACGCGCTGGTACGAAGAAGGACCACGATACCCCCAACCAATTGAGAGCTAACGCCCCAAATGCAGCAGGTTGCACTCGGCTCGGACGCTGCAGTTGCTGCAGCTCCTCCCAACGCAGCCCTCCGACAGCAGCAGACGCTCGTGAGTTTCCAGCGCGCGTTCTGCCGCTACGCACGCGGGGACGCTCCCGATGCCGTCTCCGCCGAGCTGCTCTGTGTGTTGCCGCCGAAGCTCGAGCCAGCGAAGGAAACACAGCAGGGGCAGGAGCAGGAACAGGAGGAGGACGAACCAGAGACGTCCGACCCGTTCGAGGGCATCGAGCTGCTGCTGCACGCGGACGCAGCGAGTCTGCGCCAGGGCTTGACTCGGCTCGGCGGCCACTTCAACTTGACTTAAGACAAATGTAGCCATCTCCTTGGACAAACCCAAAATTCCCATTGCGATTGTTGCAGTATCAGTCAAGTCAAGTGCTGTTGAAATGGTGGTGCTGCGCTACTCGGCGTCCAAGGTGGCGCTCGTGACGGGGCTGCACGACTTCGGCGACCCGGCGGAGGAGCTGCTGGAGTGCGTGTACCAGGACCGCGAGGAGCTGCTGGCGCGCGACGCCGCGAGACTGCGGCTGCGTGTCGTGACCAAGGACGAAGAGCTGGAGGCGCTCGTGCGCAAGAGCGGCGCGGCGGCGGCTCCGCAGCTGCGGGCGGCGCTGCGCTGGGCCCAGGACCGCGCCAAGCCCGCGCACGTGGAGGCGGCGCAGCGGCTGCTGGCGGGCGTGGACCGGCGGCTGGCGGAGGCCCAGACGAGCAGGAAGCTCGCCCAGAAGGAGGCGCAGGAGGCGCGCAAGCTGCTGGCCGAGAAGATCCACACGAGCGTCGGCACGCGCAACGAGTCGCTGGCTCTGGAGGCCTACGAGCGCCAGACTGGGTGAGTGGCTGCACTAACGGCTGGTTGGTGACTGGTTATTGACTGACTGTGTCTTGTGCAGCTCCAAGGTGCGGCTGACGAACGAGCATTTCTACTTCCTCACGTTCCCAGCGCCGCCCACGAAGGAGGACGTTGGCATTGACTACTCGCTGCTGGCGGAGCAGAGTCAGCGCTCGATGGTTCTCAAGAAGCGGCCAGGACGAGCGACTGCTGCGACTGTGGATCTGACGGCGGGGTCAAGTGACGAAGACGAAGGCGAAGGCACAGAGGAGGACGAAGACGCGGCAGACGGCTACTTTTCCATCTGCGGCATGGTGGACGGCGTGGCGGACGCGCTGACGATCTCAGCGGAGGATGAGTGGGGGCTCACGCCCGTCGTGGTGGAGGTGAAGAACCGCGTCCGAGGATTCCGCAATCCGCCGCCGCTCTACGACCACATTCAGCTGGCCGTGTACATGAAGATGCTGGGAGTCGAGCACGGCGACCTGGTGCAATGCATCTACGGAGCCGACTCCCGTCCGAGCATCCAAGTGTCGCGAGTGTCACTGGGAGTGGCCCCGCTCTGCCTCCCTACAAGCTCAGCAGAGCAACGGCAAAGGGACATTTGGACGGAGGTGATCGTGCCGCGGTTGTATGCATTCACGGCGGCAGTGGGAAAGCTACGGGACGAAGAACTCCTGCGGCTCGCGTTTCTTAACGGCACCGACGAGGAGCGACTCGCAATGCTGCGCGCCGAGTGTGACTTTCTGTGAAGAGCAAGCAAGTTCCCTGTTAAATAGAGCGTCCGGGCCATGGATCGCTACTATCCTGACTTCTACTACATAACGAGGCATCGATGCTGCTGCATCTTGCGGGACTTGCGCGCCTCGTTGGCTCTGTCTTCCGCCTCGATCTCGTCTGCCATCGCTGTGCGAGCCTCCTGCTCCCCCTCATCTCCGTTACCCGCGTCGGGGATCACTGCGCGGACAACTTTATCGCAGAAGGAGAGTTCGAACTCGGACACGCGGATGTTCGCAGCAGCTGCCGAGATGCGGTACACGGTCTTGAGCACGTTGTCGCCGCTCTGCGCCGACACGAGGAAACCACCAAGCAGTCCGTGCTGGCGGATAAAGTCCTCGTGCTTCTCGTTGGAAATGACGCGGTGGGCAACGAGGTCCGTCTTGTTCCCCACGAGGTACAGGTTCATCTGCTTGTCGCCGTTCTCGCGCGCCACATGCAGCCAGTCCTCGACGTCGCTGAACGACTGAGCGTCCGTGACGTCGTAACACAGCAGCGCCACATGCACACCGAAGAGATACTTGCTCAACATCTTGCTGTTGATCGTCTGGCCGCCGATATCCCACACCTGCAGCACAATGCGCTGGTCGCGTGGTAGTTGGAGCTTCTTCTCGAAGAAGTCGAGTCCGATAGTCTGCTTGTACACGCGCGCAAAGCCGTCGTCCACGAAGCGGGCAATGAGGCTGGACTTGCCCACCGAGCCATTCCCAAGCAGCACGAGCTTGATCGCCGGGTCGCCTCGCGCCTGCATCTCAGTAAGCGCAACTCAACTCACCACCTGCAAGACAAGAAATTGTACGAGTGCAGAACCACCTCCATTGCCTTCCTAAAATAGTTCCATCGCGCATGACTCCAAGCTGGAGTGATGCGGCTGCTACCAGCTACCCACTCGGTTGCTGAACAACCGACTGCAAGCATGACGCATGTCCCCCATATCCGATAGCAGCCAACGAAGCTGATCCAGTCGCTTTTGAGCCCTGATGCACGATTGGTATCCAGCGGATTGGTCCTAGTGACGCGTACTTGCCAGGTCCAACCTTTTCGATCGCCAAACATGGTCGCCATCACCAGTCCACGCGCGTGATTACTGCGCTCATAGGACAATGGATTGTTCCATCTTCTGCAACTTTGTTGTGCCCTCAGACATTGTCGAGAACAGATCGCTCAGATCAGCGAATGGATTCGCTCAACTCTTTGCAGCCGTGCCTTGCGCCGTTGAATCCTTCGGCGCAAACACCTTTTTCTTCTGTCAAGAGGCAACACGATACGCGCGTTAGTACTGCCCGCCTGGTATCCATGCAATAATACTATGAAAACGCACCCGTTCCCCTTTGTTTGGCTCCTTCTTGCCATTGTTTCCACCTTTGCGGCGTGGGTGTGGCTTCGCGTCTGCCTTGCTTGCGCCTTCACCGTCAGCTCCATCGCCACCATCTTTCCCCCTTTTCGGGTTGTTGCGTCCACGACCGCCGTTCTTCTTTCCAGGCTTGGGCGGACGCTTCTCAGACCCACGCTCCGTCGGGGCTTCTGCTGTTGTCCCGTTGGACTTGGCAGCAGGAGCAGAAGTAGAGTCGCTGGCAGTAGCACTGGGTGCTGAAGACTTGGGCGTCATAATACGCAGCATTCCAGGTTGATTGGGCTCCGGCTTGGACGATTCCTGCTTCGTCGCATCCTTCTTCGAGGCCATTTTACCACGTTGCTTGCGGTTCTTGGAGGAGTCTAACAGAATGAAAAGGATCACCCACCGAGGTCAATATTGTAAAACCACTTCAGCAGGCATTATAACGCTTGCAATACCTTGAGCATTCGTCGCGTCGGCGTTCTTCTTCTTTGGGCGGTCTTTCGAAGCCTTCGACTTGTCTTTCGTCGATTTCTGCTTGGAGCCCTGCAACAGCCCCACAACTTTAATGCCATATCTAAGCTTCCTCTAAGGCGCCACAATACTCACATCCTTCTTTCCCTTCTGGCGACGCGCTCCAGGCTTGTCCAACGACTTGCCACCAGATTTCCCCTGAAACAATAGCAGATCAATTCGATTTCCTCTGTTAGATCGGTGTCGCCGCAGTAAAAAGCCACTTCCAAGCGTACAACAGTCACATACTTTGCCCTTGTCGCGGCTATGGACCTTCCGCTCGTTCAGGTACTTGACCAACGCTGCCACCGGCTTCTCCACCGTCTCGCCTTCCGCCATGTCCGCGACCGCCTCAGCGCTCGGAAGTTTCTGCTCCAATCGCATATAACATGGCGCCAGTCAGAGCTCCTCAACGCTCAGCAGCCACATACATACAGACACACACAAACGCTCAATCTACGTACATCCTTCGGCTTGGCCAGCTCCTCGAGGAACGCCATGTACTCGGGGTCTCGGTCGATGGTCCCGACCTTGGCGTCCTTGCGCTGCTTCTCGCGCGGGATCTTCTGGAAGGGGGCGAACTCGACGTCCAATGGCCTGGCAGCGTCCGCGCTGTCCTTGGCCTCCGGGTAGAACCGCTGCCCGTGCAGGGACGCGATGAGCTTGCGCGCTCTCTCCGGGTCCTTCTTCATGTCCAGGTACAGGCGCGCGGGCGTCGGCGCGCGGTTGCTGCTGCGCTTGCGGCCGGGCACGAAGCGCCAGACGAACTCGTCGCCCACGCCGTGCGCCTGCAGCAGCTCGCGCGCCTCCTGCTCCGAGGCCGTCGGCGGGATGTTGCGCACCACCAGCTTCTTCAGCACCGTCGTCACGGCGCGCGTGGGCCTCGCGGAGGCGGCGGCGGACGACGACGCAGAGGCAGCGGAGGAGCCGCCTCGTCCCCCGCCACGTCCTTTGCCGCCGCTGCTGCTGTTGCCTCGCTCGCGCTTCTTGGGCTGCTTCGAGCTCGAGGCGGGGGACGCGTCGCTGCCGTTGTTGGTGTTGATGCTGCCATTGTTGCTGGCGTTGCGGTCGGCGCTGGGGCGGCGGTCGGCTCCTACTCCTCCTTCGCGCCCCCCGCGCCCTTTGCCGGCACCGCGGCGAGGCGGCGGCGACATGGCTGAGAGCTTCCGAGCTTCCTGGAGTGACGGAGCGTGTACCCAGCGCAGGGTACCCCCTACATTCGTACTTAGGGTGAGCTGGTGATAGTTGCCGTTGAAGTTGATGGGACCTGTACCTGTGCTTCACTAGCTCTAAGTAGAAGTACTCTATCTATTGCTCGAGAGACTATTTGACCATTACTTTAGGGCCACGAGCTCAATGCCAGTGGACGTGATGTTGGGACGCATTGGGGGCGACGCGAAGACGTCTCGGAGAGGACCGAACTCGTCCAACTGGGCGTCTCGACACCACGTGCACTGCCAGTGGTGCGTCGCGTGCGTGTTGTTGGTGAACTCGCCCCGGGGGAACTTGCTCAGCCAGTCGCAGGCTTCTCTCGCCGCGTCGTCGTGGCGTCGGCGGCGGCAGGCCTGCTCCATCGGCTCCTTGTTCCAGTACGCGACCTCCGGGTAGAAATACTCAGACGGGAACACCTCAATGTCCGAGTTGAAGCTTGAATTGAAGGACTCGTACGTGTGCTTCACCATCCGAGGGCCCGTGAGCTCCACCGCGTCGCTTCTAAGGCGCTCGCGGTCGAACTTTTCCTTGATGTTGTCCAGCACCTGCAGCCAGAACGGATGCCCCGGGGCGGACGCCATCAGCGCGTTGCACAGCGCGGCCGAGCGTGACTTCTCCAGTAGCACCGCGTGCACCAGCGGCTCGGAGCTGAGGAACAAGTTGCGGCCTCGATGCAGCTCGTCGAACGGTTGCAGGCACTCGAAGTCTGCGTCCACGTACAGCCCTCCGACTTGGTGCAAGAGCGCGTATCGCGCCATGTCCGCCAGACTCACCTTCTTGACAGCCTGGCGACGTGAAGGTACTGTGGATAGAGCTGCTGGAACAGCCGGAGGTTGTCCTCGTCCGTCCAAAAGACGTAGGCCCACGTCGGGTGGAAGTCTCTCCAGCTCTTCATCCACGGGTGGAACCGCGTGGGGATTCGGTAGACGCTTTTCCAGGACTGGTGGATGACGCGGGGGATGCCGTCGGTGGCCGGGTCTTTTAATACATGTAGCGCCTCTGTTGACTTGTCTGCAGTCCTGCCACTACCGTCCTCATGAGCCCCATAATGATCTGCTCCAGTTCCTTGCCTCAAAGTCTCCACAAGTTGCTGGTGCGAGGTCTGCAGCGCCTTGAGGCGAGCGGAGGGCGAGAGGGAGACCCCCATTCGAGACGACACGGCGAGGACGCCGACGACGGACAGGGCGACGAGCGCCAGGAAGATGAAGCGGAGTCGAGGGGTGGGCGCCCTCGTGGAGGCGGGCGACGCGTGGAGCTGATGCCCACGCGCATCGGAGGACTCCCGTTGCATCGAGCTGAATGGATCGGTAATGAAAGTCTCCGATCAGGAATTCACGACTATACTTTAATCAAGGTTAATTGCTTGCTATCGCATGCATGCATGCATGCATCCAGCTGTCGTCAGCAGAGTCTCAAGACTTGGTGGGGGAGCCGAGGTTGAACTCCTCGAGCCGCCGCATCATGGGCAGAGAGCCGCCGTCGTTCTCGAAGCTCGTGTTGGTGATCTCGATGCGCTCCCGCATCTTGTCGAGCGTCTCCTTGAGCATGTCACCGAACTCCTGCGCCATTTCCTCCATCTTGGCCTTGAGCTCCTGGATCTCGAGGTTCTTTGCCGCGATGATGCGGTCCTTGTCGTGCTTCATCTCCTCAAAGTTGACGCGCGCCAGCTCTGTCGCGATAGGTAGCAAGTGGTAAGTTAGCGATAGAGAGAGCGTCAACGTGCGCTGAGAAGAAGACCGCACCTAGCTGGTCGCGCAGCTCCGTGTTGGTGTTTTCCAGCGTGTTGACGCGGTTCAGCAGCTCCTCCTGCATGCTCTTGTACTGGCGGGTCATGTCCTGCGTGATGCCGAACGTCTCCTTGCGCTCGCGCTCAAAGTCCTTCTGCAGGTCGGTCACTCGCTCCTGCAGCTCGCGCTTGGACTCGAGCGTCTTGACCGTGATCTCGTGCCGCTCGGCCAGCTGCATCTGCAGCGACCTGTTCGCCGACTGGAAGAGCTTGGCCTGCTCCTCTGGGGAGAGCACGCCGCCGTTCTCCGCGCCGTCATCTGCGCCATCACACAGTACACGAGCACGTTAGCACAGCAGAGGCCGACGCACGCGACTACCACAGTCGGCACCTTTCTTCTCCTTGGCCTTCTTCCCCTTCTTCTCCTTCTTGGGCCCCATGGCGACCAACACGAAATGGCGAAGGCGAAACCACCCTCGGTCGGACAACGCTTTAACTACATTACCGGATAAAAATATGGGGAACGTTGGCACTTGCCCACCCTGCTCGCGTCCGCAGCGATCAACATGCGTGACTCATAAAATTCTAAGAGCTATAGCCACGTTAGCCCATCGGAGATAAACCACGTACAGTTGCTGTCTGCTCACGGGCGATCCTTCCTTGACTTGATTTGGCGCTTCGGCTTGCCAAGCTCGCACTGGTTCACCTGTTTTGCAAACCGCAGCGAACACAGACTCTCGCTTGCTGATTCCAGGGTCGGCGACAGATTTACCATCATCAGCGTCTTGCCGTCGCCCGATAGGCTGCTCTGAAGCAGATATGTCAGTTTGGAGTTGCGGAAGGGAATCTGCAGCGCGAAAGCAAACACACGCACACACGGTCAGGACCTACGAGCGACAGACGCCCTACGTTTGATGGACACTTACATGTGAGGCCTTGTTCCCGATAGCATTGAAGACGTCGGCCAAGCAGCTGAGACTCTTGTTGATGGCTTGCGTCTCCTTTAAGCGGTCACCGGATACGTTTGACCGGGATGCACGCTCGCTGCCCGCCAAGTCGACAAGATTCAGCTGGCCGTTCAACATGACCCCGTCCCGGTCGTTCACACCTTGCAGATGCAAAGTAAACACGCTGTGGGAACGCGAGGACTGCGCATTCATGTCTGTACAGGCCACGCTTCTCGCTCTGCTTGCTCGTTCCATGAGTGTTTCGACTTGCTCCGTGGCGGTGACATCTACCAGGGTAAGCCCTGGCACGTAGACACTTCCCTTTGCGTCTTTCTTGATGCCGAGCTTCTCGTCACCGCTCTGCCTCGTGGCTAGCAAGTCCTTCAGCGTCTCGTTGTAGATCTCCAAGAAGGACACTTTTGTAACGTAGCTCCAGCCCTGCTGCTTCAACGTTTCACATTCCTGAAGAATCATCTCGATTGCCCTCGGGATAATTCCACGCATCTGGCCGTTGCCACTACCTTGCATCTGTCGAAGCAGTCATCCACACACACACACACAGTCACCATGAACTATCAGCGACTTACTCGTAAGCTAACACATAATTAGAATATCTCACCGTGTGGGTTTTGCCAGAGCCAGTCTGACCGTAAGAAAACAAGCAAACGTGGTATCCATCCAAAGAAGACTGGACAAACTCGGAGACCTGCTCGAATACTGCGTCTTGGCCCGCAGATGGAGCGAACACTTTGTCAAAAGTGAAAGCGAAGGTATCCGGTTCAGACGGATTTTTGCCTGGTCGGCGCAGCTTCAGGCTTTCGCCGTCAAAGTCGCACGAAATCACTGGCACCGTTGTATTCGGATCACAGTGATCCGATGGCAGGAATGGCCGCGTTCTCGCAAAGACTCGAACATTTCCACGCAACTCCTACACAATTCAAATACCAACCAGTTCGATCGTGTGAATATCTCGGTCGCACTTCTTCTGAGTAGAAAACCAAAACCAAGCGTACCTGGATAGTGTTGTGCATTGCTCGCCTCAGTTTGTCGCCGTGCTTGATCTTCTCTTGCAGTTCCGAAATCACCTTGTCTTTTTCAGCAATTGATTGTGCACCCTGGTTCGTCAGCTCACCGAGGCGTCGACGCAGGATATCTGCCTCGCGCTTCACTTTGCAGAGCTCCTCAATATCTCCGTCGCGAACTGAAGACGCACGCGTCCTCAATGTCTCCACTTCGCTTTGCAAACTAACTTTCTCCTCTTGTAACTTGTCGATTTGGCATCTGAAGTTCTCCCTTTCGTGTCGGAATTTCTCTTCCAAACTGCCAATTTGCTTGTTATGAAGTTCTTTGGAGTCGACGTTTGCAGATTGGAGCCGCTTCATTTCTGCCTTCACCGCTTCCATCTGAGCGTTCACAGCAACGTGCTCTGTTCGGAGTTCGCGCACTTGATCCTCCAGCATTTGACGAACACCACCCTCTACTCCCACCTTCCGCAAGTTGTCTTGCAACTCGGCTTCCAACTGTTTCATCCGAGCTCGAATTCCTTGCTCGTTCTGCTCAGCCTCCTTCCGGGATTTGATTTCCACCTGCGGATTAGTGTTCCAGAATAATAAGTCAGTAGGACAAGAAAACATCGAACGCACTGAATGGCTAGCATTGCATACCTCCACTTGGTTTTGAAGGTCCCGAACGGTTGTACAGCTGGATGATTCCTGGCGCTCAAGATTGCGAATGGTGGTTTGAAGACGCTCAACCTTGTCAGCCAATTCCTTCTTGTCGGCTTCAACCTTCATGCTTGCGGAGGCGTTGAATTTCTGGATCTCAGTCAGACTTTTGACAAGATTAGAGACTTCCTCGTCCTTGTGCTTCAGCTTCTCCTTCAAATCCACCACCTCACTCGTCGCAGTGCTTACACGAGCCTCCAGCGCCTGGTTTTTGGCCTCAAGGGTGCACTTTTCCATTTCAGACTTGGTGCGTCGCTCGCGCTCATTGTTCAAGCTGTTGGCAGCTTCAATAGCCTTGTCCTTGTAGTTGTCGAGCTCCTTGTGCAATGAGGCAAGCTCTTCGCGGGCCTTGGTGGCCTCCTCCTGCAGCTTGTCCAACTCGGCCTGCTTCCGCTTGTTCTCATCGAGACCCTTCTTCTCGTAAAAGTGCTCCAGCTCTTGCTTCTTCTCCTCAAAGCGTCGCGATTCGTCCTCCATGCGCGTCTCGTGGGCCTTCAGATCCAGTTTCAGCTGCTCGTTCTCCTTCTGGGCATCCTCGAGCTGGATCTCGAGCTTCGCCGAGTTGTCTCGCAGAACGGCGTTGCTGCGTGCGACCTCTTGCTCCGAGGCGCGGATCCGCGTGACACTTTTCTGAATGATCTCGTTCTGCTCCCTCAGCTGCCTCAACTCCGCCTCCGACTGGTCCTTGCTCCTCGCCGCCTGCTGCAGCACAGCCAGCCTCCTCTCCAGCGTCGCCTTCTCCACTTCGAGCTTGTCGTCCATCTCCGCCGAGAGTTTGCTGAACTCCTGGACCTGCCGACCACAACACACAAGCAGCACGCACTGATGAGCATCATCACCGCCACCTCCACAGACTCGTCAGGCCCTCCGTCGTACCTTGGCCACGACGTCGCGCACGCCGGCCTTGAGCTGCTTGATGTACGCGATCTGCTCCTCCTTCCTGGCCTTGACTGCGAACTTGTTGGTCTTGGGCCGGAACGCCAGCAGCTGCTCGAGCGTCGCCAGCGTCTCCGGGCTGAAGCTCTCGTTGAACTTCTCCAGCACGTGGACGCCCAGGTCCACGGGCGCCACGCTCTCCACTGCTACAGCTGCTGCCGGTGCTGTCAGTGGCGCCCCCGCATGCGTCGAGAGCGCGTCGCTCGCAGGCGCCCGCTTGCCCCTGACGACCGGAGTCGGGAGCTGCGTGATCGACGGCCCTTTAAAGCCGAAGCGACGCGCGACAGAAGGCGGCGCACTGGTAGCTGCAGTCCTTGGGGCCTTCGCTGGCGGCGGGCGCTCCGTGGCCGCGTACGAGAGGCTCGAGACGCCGGCACTTCCCGTGGGCAGCTCGACCCCCTTCCTGCGCTTTGTGCCCATGTTCACGTCACGGTTTGAAAAACTAAACTGGCGATTTGTATGTGTAAGGAAGAGAGTGAGTACGGTACTCTTATTGCCTCGTCAACAAAAAAGAGAACGAGTACGGTACTCTTCTGACTGACCGCGTCAATACAAAAATTGCATTGCCTGGTTACATGTAGTTCCGGCGCTACTCACTAGGGCAGGTCCCAGCGCCACACCGTCGCGTCGTCCGAGCACGTAATAATGGTGCGGCCGCTCTTGCTGAAACACACCTGGCGCACCGTGCTCTTGCACGCGTTGTGCGTCAACTTGCAGGTCGAGCGATCCACCTCGGCGTCCAGGTCGAAGACGCTCACGACGCCCTTCTTGTTGCCCACCGCCATGACCTCCAGCTGCGAGTCCAGCCCGAACTTCATGAACCACAAGTCCGCGTCCTTGTAGTGGTACTCGCGCAGCACCGTGACGGCGTCTTTGCCTCGCGACGGGTTGGGCTTCCAGAAGATCACCTTGTTGCCCGTCGACTTGGACAGGATCAGGTCGCCAACCATACGCACGCAGTCCACGTAGTCGGCGTGCACTTTGCTCGTACAGAAAGCTGGGAACTGGATGAACTTGGTGTCAAACGGACGGTCCTTCGGGCGAGGCTCAGTGTACGACTTCTTGATCGCCGTCTGGACGACCTCGTCCTCCAGGTCCCAGATCTTGACCGTGTTGTCCATGCCCGCAGATACAAAGCACGATCCCTTGAGGTGCACATCCAGGCTCAGCACATCGTCGCGGTGGCCCACATGGCCAGCGAAAATCGCCACGCACACGCCGGTGAGCGAATTCCACAGGCGAATCGACTCGTCCTTGCCAGCCGAGAACAGCAGACTCGGGTCAACCGGGTGGAACTTGAGCTCGTTCACCGAGTTACCATGTCCGGACAGCACGATCACCACCGACTGCGTGATGCAGTTGATCACCTTGATGTGGCCGCGGAAGCCTGCGGCCGCCAGCAGCGGCGATCCCGTGAGCACGTCCACGGTCCACGCGGCTGTAAAGTACTGTTCCTCCTGGTCACCATCGCAGTAGACTTGGATCACGTCCAGCCCGCCGTTCTCCAGACACTCGTACACTGTCAACTGCACTCAGAAAGCGGCACAAAACGTCAGCATGGGGGGATCGAAGGAAGGCGCATAGGAGGAAGACGAAGGGCGCGTACTCGATTGCCGCCTGCAACCGCGAACATGCGCTCGTAGATGGGCAGGACGTCGCAGAACGTGACGCAGTAGAGGGCGTTCCCGTGGTCCTCCCGGGCGTAGGCTACGCAGCACAAACGTTAATACCCAGCCAGTCGCCTCAGTTGTCAAGTGCTTCGGGGTCTACGCACATGAGAACTTGTAGCCTTTCTTGCGGAGACGCGGGAGCAGTGACGTCGGCACGATATCGTCCGCTGCCACGCCGTCCACCAGCGTCGGCTCGCTTGGTGTCGGCTCGAGCACGGCAGGCTCTTGGGTCTCACTCATACCTCCGCTCGGCGCCAAAGTTGTTCACCAGGAAAAGCGTTTATGTATATATGTACACAATCACTTGTAAATTTACACCACATACATGCAATACACTAGAAGCATAATATTCCATTCTTGGCGGCTTCTGTGGTGCCGATGTTGAGGCGCACGGGCTTGAGGCGCACAGGCTTGTGCTCCTGCGGTGCGACGGCGGGCGAGGCCGTGACCGGGTCATGTCTGGGCGTACATGTTAATCGCACGACGAGAGCTATGCGTAGGCTGGGATAGCTAAAGAACATTGTGTGAGGTAAGTGCCGTGTCCGACAATTCAACGAGCGTGTTACACGAAGACGCTGCTCTGAAATTTACTATAGGCAACCCGGAGCGTTGCTCCGGGAGGGTACGCAGGTCGGCGAATAACGTTAGTTTCATGGACGATGATAACGAATAACAATAGAGTAAATCCCAAAGTTGTTTTTAATCCTTTTAAGGATTTTAAAAGAGCACTACCAGCCGAACTCTCTAGTTGATTCTAACGTGGGCATCTACACTGCGCCTGCTTCCCAGCCGCAGCATCTGCCCGGGAATAACACCCTGGTCAGCGTTCAATGGCTGCGTTGACGCCAGCAACGAGAGAGCTATTTCATTCAGTTTGCAGGTAATGTATACTGTGCTCATTTAGCACTATGTTGTGTACTAACGATCAGACGAGAGAGTAGCGGAACGAAGGAGAGATGCATGGTGCGCTGATCTTGACCTTTTAACTTGAGGGTAAATTGTGGAATGAGAAGTACGTTAATGTGCCAAGTCCTTGGAAGTGGGCGCTTCAACGCAGGTAAAGAAAGCTTAATTCAAACGGACAATGCTCGTGTCACTGTCGAGTTGAGCTGGTTGGTTTGGCGAGAGACACGAGGCTGGGCATCTTCGGCTAAGTGATTGAGTATTGAGCAAATTGGCATGTAAAAAATGCAGCCTGCAGCTAGACAAGTCATATTGGTCATCTTCAGCTATGCTTGGTCGATTATGGCGCAAATTGATACGCCTTCAGCGAGGCCATAGTGTACATGTACTGGAGCGTCCGTAAGGGTTTGAAGGCTGGTTTTGGTAAAGAATGAACGATTAGTATCAACCTTTGGTAAATAATGTGCAAAAATCTTAGCATTTATCGACGGGTACCCGATTCCGGCAGATATTAGCTTAAACATTACAATTAAGAAAGAAAGACCCTGTGTGGTACCCGGTTTTGGAAAGTTACAAGTTTTTTTTGCCGGGGCCAAGCACAGGTCTTCGACCTGTGAACTTATTACTTGTTAACCCTTCTAGCCCCAACCTTATTCTGTAGTGATTATACAGAATAAGATGACTTGATTAGAGTATACGTCAAAACTGCTGGAGGTATGCTATTAGGGGGAGTCGAACCTTAAAAATGGCGACAAAAATATCAACAGAGACAGGACCGAATAATCAGCAACGTTCTGTCCCAAAAATCAACAAATCAAAGTAGGGTACTCACTCTCAGTTTTCACATGTAGTTGGTGAAAACAGCGAATTATCACTTCCTTTCTCGCCAGCACGCGCAGGCTCTTGCTTAGTGCATATACACCTTCTTATATTCAGCTTTATACCTAGCAATGGCCGACTTCAACGTAACACTGTCCAGCAGCTCACAACGTCTCCATCTTCGCGAGTTGGCATCTAAAACTTGTTTAAAGCGATAGTGTGAAAACTTGCCTAAACACATACACAACAATTTCTAGTTGAGGAAGGACTTCAAAAACAGCTGAAATTGTATCAGAGGTCGAGGAGGGAACAGCAAGCGGTACCACTTGAAGTTCGAAATCATCAAGATTTCGCCGAAATAATCAACATCAAATCGCCCTAAAATCAGCACGTTTTTTGCCAGGTTCGACTCCCCCTATTGCAACCCTTTACATGGTGACGGTGTAAAGGGCCCATTTACATAAGTAGGTAGAAGCTACATAGGTACATACACAAAAGTAGGTGCAGTCACACGGCTAGCGTGTGACCTGCTGTCATGTTCTGATTGGTTGAAAGTGGGGAGCCTGACCCATTTCATCTAATCAGGTGCAGACTTAGATTTGAGTGGTTCACAAGGGTAAGGGGGCCTCCGTCCCCCGTCCCATACATAAACAGAGTTGATTTTACCCTAAAGACAAGACTTGAGCTTATTATTGCAAGCTTCCTCTTATCTACAGTGTACGCTAGTGACGGTATCTCTTACCCCGTTACACCTGGTAGCACTTAGTAGTCCTTCCAACGTCCAAGACCAAGATGAGCCAAGTTCTGATGTCCGAAGGGTCCGGTGTAACCCTTGACCACACGAGTTTTCCCCACCTCACCCGGGTTGAGTGGGAAGCTCTTCACCGCCTCGCTGCCGTGTCCGGCGAGTTCGTCGTCACGTCGCTACTGAGCTCAGCGACCGCCGACCAACAACGCCAGACTGCCCAAGAGTTCATGGAACGCGAGCTTGCCGATGCCAAGCGGCGAGTGTCAACTCCCTCGCATTCCTCCCGGAACGATGCGGTGAAGATGGAGACGTCGACGTATTCCGGCGCCGGCCAAGACCGACTGCCCCTGAACCGCTGATTCAGGGAGATCGACATCGCCATCGCCTCGAGACTGATCGAGGCGCCGACGGCGAAAGTGAACTTCCTCCTGTCGCGCTTGTCGGGGAAGGCGAAGGGGTGGGCCCTCGGCAAGCTTGTTGTGGACCAACACGCCTTCCCGAGTCTGGACAGTCTCCAGAAAGACCTTCGACTTGCTGATGCCTCAAGTGCAGCCTCCAAATCTGCGGCAAGTGGCAAGCCGTCAACTCCAGCTTTAGCCGCAGGTGCTCAAGAGTGGTTGGTTTCCTGCTACCGATGAAGAGGGTCATGTGGTATAGCAGTACACACAAAATCGTCAGTTGTGGTAACTTGGCTACAAACACAACAATAGCCGAGCTGGTCGGCTTTGTTGGCCTGCGCCGGGTTGCCCCCGAGCGGTTCGGCCTAACCGGGACAGCGGGTGTCTCGCCTTTCGTCGAGACCTGCCAACCAAGATCACCCCTCCGGAGAGCCGCCGAGTTCGACGGCCTCCGTTCACTTAACCCTGTGCCCTCCACCAAAGGATGGACGACGGCGCACGGAGCGCTTTTACAGGTCGCCGAGAGCAAAGGCTTCTCGACTCAGCAATCAGTGCCCGGGACGTACGGGAACACCGGCTCGCAGCGGTGGCGAGACTTTTCCTTCGCGCTTGGCGAGACACGCGCCCAACCCGGGCCGACCTTAATCTCTTGGCGCTGCCAGCCGAGTACCCTACAAGCTATGCCTCTCGGGTACCGGCAGCAGACATAATCCGGCCCCGTGCAGGGACTTACCGGAACGTGTACACGTGTTGTGGACCTAGAAAATTCTGCTCTGTTGTTTGTTATCTCTGTCGGGCGCCCTGAAGGGGCACCTCCACTATTCCTAAGCTCCTATACAAATACCAAATGAAAGTGGGCGGTTTTGGATCTCGGCCGACTCTTCGCTGAGCTCGGCGACGCTTGAGCTCGGTTGGTCCGGATGAGCTATCCGGATAATTCTTCGAACTCGGCTGAGCCGGATAAGGTGTCCGGATAAGCTGGTGAATTCGGCTGAGAGTGTACCACTCCAGCCGAGTTGGTCGCGCGAAATCTGGTGTTCCCTACACCACAACTGCCCCGGTCATGTTCCGAGCCGAGTTGGTGAAGGACCTGACCATCACTCCTTGAGTCGAGTCCAATCTCGGCCAAAACTTCAACGGCAGCGAACAAGTCTCCGCGCCATGTCATCGTCCGGCGCTCCTGCCGCTCCTCCGGTACGTTCCTCGCCTCCGACGGCTCCATCCATTCTGCTGCTGACCCTTCTTCTACTGATCTTCACAGACTTCAGTTGCGTCGTCTTTGCAGTCTTCACATCCTCCCGCGCGAGATGAGGGGAAGTTCGCTGAGTTGGTCGACTCGGCGTCCCGGGCTCGCGGGGTCAGCGATGGGCAGGAGCACCCTGTCATCGATCTGACAACCTCCCGTGGGCTCGGCCGGGAGTCCAAGCCGGCATCTCGCACTTCTCCTCGCCGCTCACCGAGTCCGCGTGGTGACACCACTTCGGGCACCGCCGACCTTGGTCGGTCGGACTCGGCTGGACCGGTGAGTCTCGACTCTCTCGCTGCGCTGATCCATGCGCAGTCCGAGCAACGCCGCATCGAGAACGCGGACTTGGCTCGGCTGTTGTCGTTCGTGATCACTCGTCCCGCGCCGGCGGCTGATAGAGAGGTCCGCCGAGCTGCCCTCGAGGCGACGTCCGTCAGCGAACTCGTGAGCCTCCTTCGCGGTCAGCACCAACCTTCAAGTCAAGCTAGTGACGTCGCTGCACTGAGGGTCGAGCTGGAGTCTGCTCGGACTATTAACGCTGACTTGACTCGGCGGCTGGATTCACAGGCGGCTGTGAAGGCCGACCTCGAGGAACGGTTGAAGACTGTCGAGGAGGAGCGTGACCGATGGAAAGCCGAGTCGAAGAAGTCGTTCCCTCTCCTGACCAGCTTCCGGAAGGCGATGGCCGAGTCTGAAGCTTCCTTGAAGTCGGCCCGCAAGTCTCAGGATGATGAAGTGAAGTCGGCTCTCGCTCACGCCAAGGATCTTGGCAGGCAGCTCAGGGAACGCGACTCGGAGATTGAGCGTTTAACTCAGCTTCTTTCGGCTCGTGACGCCGAGTACGCTGTGCTCCAGGGGATCTCGACCAAGCACTTCGAGCAACTGCAGGAGTCGGCTCGGCTACTCATTTCTGGAGACGCCCAGCCTCTCCGTGATGCCAAGGCTACCATCAAACACCAGCGTGAGGTCATCCTCCGGCAGAAGCGTGTCATTTCTCGCATGGGTCTTTTACCCATGCACGATCCTCACATGGCTGCTGCAGCTGCAGCCGGGTTGGACGTGCCTGGGTTGAGCCCTGCTGACTTGCAGCTCAATGCTCGGTTATGCCGGATCTTGGCTCAACGTTTCCCGGAGGTGATGGACATCCCGGCTGGAGAGACTCGTCGGGTCGAGTTGACCATCCACCCGCGAGCGGACGGCACCGCTACTACTCCGCCAGCGCCCGTGAGCGCGGCTGGTTCTTTCCTTGGACAATCAACCCGGCTGACTGGGTCTGAGGCTCCGGCCCCTCCAAGCGAGTCACCCGCATCATCTGCCGCCAATCCTGTGTCGGCTGGTGCGGTTTCTACGCCCGTGTCCACTTCTGCTTCGCGCCGTCGCCGCAGCAAGTCGGTCGACCAGGTTCACCGGGCTCGGCTGGATACTCTGACACCTGCCGAAAAATTACTTCGCTACTCAAACCCGAAGTCAGCGACGGCGGCTGGTTCTCAGCGCAAGCCCAAGAAGCCACTCGAGCAGCCGTACGCGTGTCCACTTCCTGGTGAGGTCGTCCATGAGGACGCGTTGGTCCAGCTTGAAAAGGCTGCCCAAGAGACTGACGCCGCTGCGACCTATCGCTCCGGTCGAGCTTGAACTTAGCCGGGTTGACTGTCGACGATGTGAATGTGGAGGCCGGCGACGAGGTTCACTCGCTGGAAGAGGACCTCTCGTTCGAGTTCACCGAAGTGCCTGGTTCCGCCGAGCTTCCGAGGGGGCCCGCCGGCCCGACCGTGAGTGTGCCGCCCGTGCAACTCGTGCCTTACTCTTCCTCCCCGGTGCAGACACCTTCAAGCGGAGTGGCTGTTGTATCGTTGCCTGGATCTGCTGACCTTGCTGCAACTCCGTCCGCTTTTTCGCTTCCTGCCTCGGTTCCGTTCCCGACTCGTGTCCGGTGGGTTCCCCCCTCGACCAGCGTGCCGAGCGCGGCTGTGGTGACAGCGACTGCCGGCGCCGGAGGACAACGGGGTTCCTCTGCTCCCGATCCGGTGCTTGCTACAACGCATGCTGTGATTGCGCCGAGCTCGACGGCTGGAGTCTCGGCTGCGGGTACAATTAACAGCTCCGCTGCGATTCCGCCTCGGGTTTCGCAGTCTTCTCTGGGTTCGGCCGCTCACCGGCTCTTGGCATGTACTCGCTCCCGGTTTGCCAATCAAGCCCAGAGTCGTCGTGGCCCGTCAGGGGTCTACTGTAGTCACCCCAATGCCGAGCACTCCGTCGGTGGCCTCGACCCGGCCAGCGGTTCCTCCGAGCTCAGCTGGGATGACTTCTCCATCGGGTCGCCCTTTACGCTCCACTGCAGCTACTGCCCGAGTGTTGAACGCTCACTGCTTGGATCTGTTAGAGACTCCTGACTATCTCGTCCTCCGGTCCGATCGGCGTAGCTCCTCCTCTGGCTCGTCGGGCTCGGCTCTTGGATTAAATGCTCCTGGAACCTCAGCACATCCGTTGTCTGTGTCCGAGAGTTCTGAGTCTGAGGCTGACGACCCTGGATCTGCTGACGAGCTCAGTTCGGCCGACCCTGACGCATCTCGCCGGGCTTCGTTAGCTTCTCCGCTCCCACCTCCGCACGGGAAGCTCCAGAGCTATATGGCTGCTCGTCACTCTCCTCTCGTTCCGTCCAGCGAGTCAGGTGACTCAGACTCGCAGCCGAGTTCCAAGAAGCAGAGCGGTAAGGGCAAGCGCAAGCGGAGGCGCAAGCACAAGCACGAGCATGAGCGCAAGCACAAACACAAGTCGAAGTCGAAGAGGTCTGCGTCTCCGGACTCGGCTAAGGACCCCCGCCCGTCCAAGCGTCAGAGAGGTTCGACTGGGGACTCGGCCGGCGGCCTAGCCGGGATTTCTGCCGCTTCCAGCTCAACCGGCAACTCGGCTGGATGCTCTGGTATCCCATTGAGCTCAGCTGTTTCGCCGTCGCCTATTTCTGGTGGTCCAGCTTCGACCCTGTCGGTGCCTATCGTGACCGCTCACGACGCTGGCGCCCACGTTCTCCCTCAGTTGCCTGCAGCTTTGCGCTATTCGCTCGCTCAGCTGCGCACTCGAGCTCGCCTAGCGGTCGGCCAAGATGCCCGGATCACTCCCCAGCTAGCTCAGCTGCGTGACATCCGCTTCGTTCATTACGGGTCTCGGCGGTGCTGAGAGGCTATCCTCAGCCATCAAACGGCCAAGGTCACTGTGGATGACGCGTCGGGGAAGGGTAGTGTGCCGGTTACGCTCTGTTCCCTCGCTGGGATTAAAGCGTTTGCGGACGTCTACCATCCGGATCGCCCGGCTCAGCGGCTCCTTTGTCTGCTTCCCAAGACTCCTATCTTCTTCTCCCCTCAAGTCCTCGACGATGCCAAGCGCCGGTTGACGAACTCGGTGAAGTCGGTGACCTTGATGGAGCGTCTCGCAGAAGTGTTCGTGAAGATCCGCGGAGAGGCTCCAAACTCGGTTTGTGACAAAGAGGGTCCTACCAAGTTGTTCGTAGCACTGTTCGAGCGGTGTCACTGGATGGTCGAGTCGAGTGTGCTGATGGGGCTACATCCGGCTTTTCACACGGGGCTCCCGTATCACGTGATAGCCGAGATGTATGACACGTGGGTGTTGTACAAGTTGGCTCGCAAGCGTCGAGGCGATGACCTCCGAAGCCTCATGACTATCCTGCCGGACGACCTGTTCACTGCAGTGATGAAGCTTCTCGGCGGGCTTGCTGCCCCGGAAATCGACGCGGAGCTCTTCTTCGAGCCATCGGTCCCGTTGTATCCGCTGGTCAATCTTGCTTGGATTCCTGCGGGCACAGACTGGTGTGCTGAAGCCGAGTCTATAGACGACTCCGAGCCTTGGCGAGCTTGATGGTTGACCGACCCAGCGACGCACCCGTACAACACCTGCTTCCGGACGCGTAACTTGGAATTCGTGGTTTTCGCTCCCACTGGTGTGGATCCGCGCCTAGTCGAGGATGCTGTCGATGACGATGTGGACCTCGACGAGCCTGCGCCTCCCCAGATTTCGTCAAGTGCTCCGACTCCGGTCAACCGTGCAGGAATCCACATCTTCCAAGGTTGTGAAGCTGATGAGCTCGGCTGGACCGCTGGCGATGCGGATCCGGCGTCTCCGTTGATCGGGTCGCCTAACGTGTGCGGCCCTTCTCCCACGGCTTCCCTCTTTGGTCCGGCGTCGCCTGGGTCTCCAGCTGAGTCGAGCGCAGGATCGAGTGTCCCTCTGGCTAACAACTCGGCTATTCCGGCTTCAAGCTCAGCGGACTTGGCTGTGCAGACTGCGGGAGCAGCGGATAGCTCGGCCGGCTCAGCTACGAACACTGGAGGTTCGATTGGTCTCCTCGCAGCGACTGCTGCTACCGTTGTGTCCTCTGCCGCGCATTCACAGGGTCCTTCGTTTCCGTAACGTGCGGCTCAGCCGCCGAGCTCTTCTTCCTTTCCCATCCTTCTTCGGTGTGATTCATGTAATGTATGCAATTTGACGCAGTAGCTTCTTTCGCCTCAACTCAGCCTGCTGTCTTCACTGAGTTGGCGGGTTCATCATTTTGGTGCAATAGCTTTAATCCTCGTCTGCAACTTGCACCATTTGCAGACGGTTTTCACGCTTCTTCTGCCGTAAGTAGTCGAACAATAATCCCCCACACGACAAATTCGACAGCGGCTCCCAGGTTGGCTCATCATAGCCGACCCACTTGACCTTGAACTTCCGCTGAGTTCTGGAGGTGCTCGTAGAGAGCGGCAACTCGTCGTCCAGGATGGCTTCGACTTCGTATTCATTCATTGCTTCGTCGGGCTCCCAGCTATCTTCAGGAAGGAGTTCCTCGTCAAAGTCGAGACGATACGACTCGGCTAAATCGGCTACTAGCCTAGTTGTTGGTCGCTCGCCGAGTCCCGTGACCGCTTTCAGACGTGACACATGTACCACAGGGTAGAAACGGTATCCGCTCTTGACCGGGAGTTCGAGCTCGTAGGCAAACTCCTCTACCTTCTTCTTCACTCGGAATGGCCCATGCCATCGATGTGCTAACTTCGTGGTCAAGCCAGGTCTGACTCGTTCCATGAACAACCAAACTTGGTCACCTTCCTCGAATAGCGACTTCCTCGACTCGGCTATCTCGTCACCTTCCTCAGTCGACTCGGCTGCTCCCTCGGGTGAGTTCGCTGGGGTATCCGTCCCTTCCTCTCCGGCTGGGACAGCTCTCTGCTCGAATCGGCTGAGTCCATCATTGTGTTCCTTCGCTCTCCGTTTCTTCTCCTTCAACTGGAACTCGGCCGCAAGCTTCAAAGCCACCTCTCTCTCTCTGTTGGTTTGCTTCCCTGCGCCATTCGGCTACCCCCGTTGAGTCAGCTGAGTTGCCCCTGCCGAGCCTGACTGACTCGGTCATCGCCTTGAGTGTAGACCGAGCGTCCCATCCGTGTACCAGGTAGAACGGGGTTTCCCGCCGAGTCGAGTCTCTCGAATTGTTGATGGCATGGACGAGCTTCTCGGCTACGTCATCCCAGTCGGCTTGGAGAGGGTCTTCCACGTACACACGCACAGTCTGGATCATGGTCTTCACTGAGCGTTCTTGCTGACCGTTGGCTTGTGGTCGGTAACTCAGCGTCGCTCTCGACTTGGACTGCATCATCTCCGAGAACTTCTGGAACACTTCACTCATGAACCGGGGATTTCTGTCGTGGCGTACCAGTGATGGAGCTCCAAACCTCCGGAACACGTTCTCTTCGAAGGCCTTCGCTACCTCAAGTGCCCCAGTCTCACTCATTGCCTTAGCAATCACGAACCCGGTGAAGTGGTCTTGAAACAACAGGAGTGCAGTGTTGCCCCGCCGAGTCTTCGGCAGTGGTATGACAAAGTCCATCGATACCACGTGGAACGGTCGCTCAGACACTACGTTGCCAGGTGAATAGCCCTTCAGGTGCGGTTTGCTCTTACTGGTACTGCAGTCTTCGCACGCTTGGACATATTTGACCACGTCTGCGTACAGCCCAATCCAGTAGTAGTCGGCTCTGACCCTGTGGTATGTCCGCACAATCCCTTGGTGGTCTCCCTCGATGGAGTTGTGGCAGTTCTGCAGGACCTCGTCTATCATGGTCGTCGGAACCACCAGTCGAAGGGATAAGCCTAGTTCGCCGAGTTCGCCAGGTGGTCTGGCCTTGCCTTGTCGGTACAGTAGCCCGTCTTCACTGAGCACAAACTCGTCGGCAACTTTCCCAGCGTTGTGAGCTCGGCGATGTGTGAGCTGCGCATAATCCCCTCTCAGGTAGGTCTTCAAGTCGGCCCATCGTTGTTCCTCGTCTTGAGCTCTTGCTACTCGCAGGCGGCGCTCAGCTTGGACCACTACCGGATCGATGTCCATGGCGTTGGGCTCCCGGGCTTCTCCGAGCTCGGCTACCAGCTCAGCTGGGTTCGCTGGTGGTGCTGCGCTACCGAACTCGGCTTCTCCCGTCACCCGCTGTCTAGCAGGCGGAGGTCGGCTCCGCCACTTCGTCTTCGAAACGGACGCGGCGGACTTGACTCCTTGTCACGGCAGCCATCTCAACACCCTCGGCCGGGGCTGCAGCCGAGTCCGTGTCCACGTACAGGACCTCAGAGATCCTGTTTAGGGTCTTCAACTC